ACATTTTGTATATACGGGGACAGCGTCAAACACTGGAGCCCTTCCTGAACCAGGGCACCTGGAGCATCGGGAGGACGTCACCCCTGAATAAACTGCCAGTGGGAGCTGATGCCCCGCTCACTCCTCTGTCCACAGGAAACACTGCATGTCGAATGCCTGGCTTCCCTGAGATCCGCTGGCCACAGCCCATCTCTGGGAATCCATTGGAACATGTGGTTGTTAGGGGGTTTGTTTTGAACATAAAGCTCTTGATACTTGTATTCTCTTGACAACAGGAACAAAGCAAGTGAAGCTACAGGTCAAAGTGTTCTTGAAGCTTTGATATTTAGCCTTTCACTGGCCCTTCTACAGGACTTTGGGGGCAGACCTATTTCATCTGTTCCATCCAGCGCACGTTTCTTTCAGGGAAAAACAATGCCACCAAATTTCAGAGTTCTGAACTCCTTTCCTTTAGGAGAGGGTTTCTCCTTTCTTCAGCACCAGTAGTTAATGTAAGTTCCCGGGTGGGGAAGTAACTGTTCTCTACTTCATTTGCTCCTGCTTCTGAGAAAGACTTTTACAGTCAGGCCTGGGTGTGTTGTTTCTGTTCAGGATCCAGGGCGATTCGTTTTGTCGTGGGCTTGAAGTGGGTCTGATTTGAAAGGGGGTGGTGGTCTGGATCTCAGCCAACGCCTGAACGGAGTGCTCAGGTCTCAGCGAGGCTCCGCCCCTTGGGGCCACCCTGGAGTTGGACCTCACAGTGTCTGTAGGATCCCAGAAATCCAACCTTAGGGGATGTCATCAGGTTGTGTTTTAAATTTTGCTGCAAAGTTGAACACTAATGTGCTGCCAGTCTTTCAGAATCTTCAGTTTTTACTCTACTGATGGTTCTCCAAGGAGACTGTCCAGTGTGGCAAATTCACCATTATGTTGTAGGTTTATAATTTTTCTTACGGCGGCACTTTCTTCCTGGCTCTGGTTGGGATTCGCCTCTTACTACGACTGTCGGCCATTCTCAATTCCTAGGAGACTTGTTTTGTTTATAATTAATATTTAATATTTAGACTATTTTACTGAGCAGACTTTATAAATGAGGTATTTGCAAGGCACTTAAAGTGTTACAGATGTTTTAAAAATTATTTAAGTTTTATTGGGTTAAGACAGTCTTTCGGTGTTCTCATAAACACTATTTTCAGAAACAGAAAGTGATGGTGCTGGCTGGGGTTTTATGTGTACTGCGCAACTGTCCTCGACTACATGAAGTAGCATTTTTTCACTCTTAGAATTGGAACTAAATAATGCCTATGCAGTTAAGTTGGATAAAATGTATACAGATGTTTCAGATATTACAGGATAAATATATAAATTAAAATTTCCTATATAAAACAATTTGGGAGTTGGGTGGAAATATTTTGAATATTTATTTTTAAAGATGCAGAATGGGACTTTGTGCACGGTATTTTTGTAAATGCCTTTCAAAATACTTGTCTTTGGTAGTGCTTCTTTTGCTGCCACCAAATTGATAAGATGCTATTGAAATGTTTAAATAAAGAGTTTAAATTTTTAAAAGTGCATGTGATGTTTCCAGTGAAGAATAAACGGTCTCTTTCTTTCCTCAGTTTGCCTTGTTCCTGCCCTGCGGGTGTGGGGGCGGGACCAGTGCGTTTCCTGTTCTGCTGCCTCTGCCCTCTGAGGTTCCAGGTCAGCAGGTGCTTGCTCTCAAAGGAACACCCGTATCATCAGGGCGTCTGCTCCAGAAGGCAGGTGTGGGACAGAAGCTCATTTTCAAGCCTACCCCAGGGTTGGCGCGTTGAGTAAACACTTACTGAGGGCCCACTGCGTGTGGCGTGCTGAGCTAAGATTCACTGGTGAGCAAGGACGAAGCGCCTCTCCTTCGGGAGCTGCAGCGCGGGCAGCACGAGGGCTGAGAGTCCGGAAGGGACCGTGGAGGCGGGGACAGCCCAGGGCCGCCATGCTTGTGCCTCCCCGGTCGTGGATTTTCAGGGGCAACCAGCATTCCCATGTTGTTTTTATCCTTCTGTAAACCCCTCTGCCCACTAGCAAAAATGTGCGTATACTTCACCGCTGTTCACACAAATGATGGCGGACTCCATGGACTGTTTCGTGTCTCCCTTGTTTTGGTTACGGAACAGATCTTGGAGATTGCCTATCCATAAAGAACTTGTTAAAAAACAGCTCTACTGTTGTTTGCATGGATATACTCTTTAGTTTGAACCAGTCCCCAGTGGATGGACATGTGTTTGAATTTTTCCGTATACGAACAGTAGGTGTGCAAAGAAGGAACACTCTGTACTCCATACCCTTGGGAGTCTGGAGTTGGCTGACCCCAAAATCCAGGGGACCTTCAAATGGAAAAATGGCTTAAGTTGTGCTTCCTCCCCAGGCCCTGTCCTCGTGCCTAGAACCGGTCCGCTGCCCCCGTCCCTGTGCCCGGAACCCGTCCGCTGCCCCCGTCCCTGTCCCCGTGCCCAGAACCCGTCCGCTGCCCCCGTCCCCGTGCCCGGAACCCGTCCGCTGCCCCCGTCCCCGTGCCCGGAACCCGTCCGCTGCCCCCGTCCCCGTGCCCGGAACCCGTCCGCTGCCCCCGTGCCCGGAACCCGTCCGCTGCCGCTGCCCCCGTCCCTGCCCCCGTGCGCAGAACCCGTCCGCTGCCCCCGTCCCTGTGCCCGGAACCCGTCCGCTGCCCCCGTCCCTGTCCCCGTCCCCGGAACCGGTCCGCTGCCCCCGTCCCTGTCCCTGTGCTCGTTCTTGTCCCCGCCTCCCCCCAGACCTCCAGCTCCGCGTTAACAGGCGGTTCTGTGTCCAAGCGAGCCGACGGCTGCTCCTTCTCGAGCAATGACTTGTCACCCGGACTTGGACCTCGCTTTGGTCCCCAAACCCGGCCAAACAGGACCCGGCCTTAGTCACCCTCGCCTCCCCAGGGCGGCCTGCGGCAGAAGGCATGAAAACCTGGCGTTTATTTCAAAACCTCGGCATCCCCACCGCGGAACTAGGGGTCGCTAAGCCCCGGGCCAGCCGCCCGCGCGCACTCGTGCCGGGCAGGCCCAGCCCCCGCGCCCCGCCGTCACGTGCCGTCGCCATTGTAGCGTCAGCGTGCCCCCTGCGGTCGCGCGCGCGCCCACCGCGGGCCCGCCCCCGGTCACGTGGCCGCCCGCCGCAGCGCCTGCGGCCCCGCCCCCGGTCACGTGGCCGCGCGCCCGCGCGCCCGCCTCCAGCTGCGCGCGGCTCCTCGCGGGCCACCGTAGAGGGCGTCGGGCGGCCGCCGGGACGGAAGCCGAGAGGCGCTGCCGACCGCGCCTGCGACAGCGTCAGCCCTGCGCGGAGCGCCGGCCCGATGGCGGCGGCGGCGATGGCCGAGCAGGAGAGCGCCCGGAACGGCGCCCGGAACCGCGGCGGGGTCCAGCGCGTGGAGGGCAAGCTACGCGCCAGCGTCGAGAAGGGCGACTACTACGAGGCGCACCAAATGTACCGGACCCTCTTCTTCAGGTAGCCGCGGCGCTGCGGCCGCCGCCTTCCAGGGCTTTCCGCCGAGCCCGGCGCCCCGCCTCCGGCCGTCTCCCATTGGCCGCGCCGCGCCGCCCCGCGTCCCCGTTGGCTCGCGCTGCTGCCCGTCGCCGCGGCGGTGGAGCCGGCGGGCGGCCGGGAGGCGGAGGATGGAGGACGCCGGCCCGGGCCCCGGCCCCGGCCCCTACCGCAGCCCGGCGTCTCCTCCCCGGGCCCCGACCTGGCGTCGCCCATCGCGGCCTCGCCTGGACCGAGCCCCGCGGTCTGCGGCCCCCGGCGTTCCGGTCGTGGGGCGAAACGTGCTCCTGCCCCGCGGCCCCCGCGGCCCCCGCGGCCCCCGCGGCCCGGTGTCCGTGAGCCCGGCGCCGCGCCTGCACCCGCGCGGTCGGGGGCTGCAGGAACGCGGGGGGCCGCGGCAGCGCGGCGAGACCTGAGGGCTGGGGGATGCTGGGGGCCCGGCGGCGAGTCCCGGGGCCCAGGGCGCTGGGGAGCTCCGGGGCCGCGCGGGGCTCACTGCGCGTGCCGGGGGGGGGGGGCTGCCGCGGGGCGCGCTCAAATCAGAGGTGCTTTTTTCGTGCGGCCGCGGCGCGTCGGCAGGTGTGTGGCCTGCGCGGTCACGGGAGCTGCGCTGTGCCCCGAGTCGTCGTCGCGTGTGGGGGCGCTCGGCGATCCTGGACGGGCCGGGCGGAGCAGTGGGGGCTTCGCTGGGATGGGGTAGGTCCGGTCCGCGGAGGGCCTTTTCTGCCCGAACTGTGCGGCAGGGTACTGAAGGGCCGTCGGGGCGGCCCTTGTCGCCACTCAGGCCTAGACTTCGATACTGTCTGTAAGCGACAGGACGGATCAGCGTCTCCGGGGCCTCTCGGGTCCTGTCCCGGCCGTGCTCGGGCTCCGCGGCTTGGGGGAAGCCCGGGTGGGAGTGAGCACCGCTGGGCGTAGGCCTCCTCCGCCTGGCAGCTTCAGCAGCCAGAAGGCCGCGTGAGGGAAGCTTTTCCAGATTGGCCCGGGTGCTTGCTGTTCTCTGTGTCGATACTTCCCCGCTGATTAATCAGCGAAACTGGATCTTCCCAAAAATAAACAATGTTTCTTTTTTGAGACCGTTTGGCCCTGTGGGACGAGCTGTGAAGAGGCAAGTGTGTCTGCCCATGTTTGGGGGTGGTGATGGAAAGCAGGCTCCCCACCCCAGCCTTCACTTGGCTTCGGATTCCACCTGTGCTGTGTGATCTAAGACCAGCCTTGGCTTCCTCATGGGGCATCTGGGGTGCACCCACACCGCTCGGGAGTTGGGGAAAATAAATCCTCTGCCCTGGCCGATGATGTGGTGGCATTCATGGCCACCCGTACGGCCTGGCTGAACTAGCCTGGAGTTGTCCCTGACTCCCGGGGTGCCGTCCCTGCAGACCCGTGATTTCAGCCCCGTTGAGACCCTCCTGGGTGTGTGGCTCCTGGACGAGTCTGATGCAGTGGGTGATACTAGGTTCTTGGTCTTTCTGTAAGTCGATATGTGTGTCCGTATTTAAGTGTTTACGTGAAAGGTGCAGTTTGGTGCATTTTGGCATGTATGTTCCCATGAAACTACCCCCAGTCAAGATACGGAGAACGTCCATCACCGAAAATTCACCGCAAAGGTTCTTTCTCTGTTCTCAGAATCCATCTCTCACACCCCTTGCCCCAGGCAGCCACTGCTCTCTGCGGCCCATAGGTTGATTTGCATTTTCTAGAATGTTTTGTAAGTGGAATCATATCCTCTTTTTGTACATCTTGAGTTTACACAGCATGATCATTTGGAGATTTACCCACGTGTGAAGTACTAGTTCATTTCTGTTGCCGAGTGGTGTTCTGTGGTGTGGATGGACACAGCTTGTTACCTACTCACCTGTTGGCATACATTCACCAAATTGCTGTTTGTTTGTTTTAACATTCTATTTATTTGAGAGAGAGCGTGTGTGCGCACCAGAGCACGAACAAGGGAAGGGGCAGAGGGGGGAGGAAGAAGCAGCCTCCCTGCTGAGCAGGGGTCTCAGTCCCACGACCCTGAGATCAGGGCCTGAGCCGAAGAGAGAAGCTTAACTCACTAAGCCACCCAGGTGCCCCCAAACTGCACTGTTTTAATTGTGTTTCCCAGCAGTTGAAGGAGAAGGGGGCACGCAGTCGGGCAGTGCGGTGGGTCAGACTTACTCCGTGCGCGGGCCTCAGGTGTGGGCAGTAGTTGGGGCCTGGTGGCGCGGCTGGGGGCTCTGACCACTCGGTGCTGCTGGTGCCAGTGGGTGGCCGCCCAGTGTCTCAGATCTTTCTCTGCCAGGACGAGGAGGGAATGCGCTTTCCAGGCCTGTGGGTTCATTGGTGCTCGGTCCTCCTCCACCCCCTTTCTGGCTTCCATGGCTGTTTTGCGGGGTGGCCAGAGGGCCCCTTGCCCAGTATTAGGATTGTCACTTCCCGGGAGGGCCTCTGCAGCCAGCCTGCCTCCCCCTCAGGGGCCTTTCTGAGATTTGTGTGGGTTTGCCTCTTAAATGAAGAAAAATTTTTTAAAAGAGAAACTTACAGGGGCGCCTGGGTGGCTCACTTGGTTAAGCGTCTGCCTTTGGCTCGGGTCATGATCCTGGGGTCCTGGGATCGAGCCCCGTGGGGAGTCTGCTTCTCCCTCTGCTCCCCCTCCAGTCAGTTGTTGGCTGGCAGATGACACCGGCATGTCCCCACAAGGTGTGCCGAGCAGGTACCCTGCCGTTGGGGCTGCATGGATGGTGCCAGGCTGGAGGGTTCTTACTCCATCTGCTCTCAGCGCCCCGGAGCCTTGGACCCAGATGATAAATTCCTTTCCATTCCCTGAGTTCTGCAGAAAGAAGCACGTTTATTTCTCAGGGTTGCCTTTCGCTGTTTGTTTTCGGCTTTCCTTGATCTGCAACAGGTGATTTCACCTGGATGGGAAGAGTGTTGGACAGGGCGCTTTGCCCCGCCCCCCCGGGCCCCCAGGCAGTGCATGAAAGCAGGCCCTGTTACCTCAGGGATTTGCTGTCACCTGCTTGTTAGCAGCTTCTGTTATCTGGTGTTCTGAGAGCTGGTCTCTTGCTGTGCATCAGACGGAGGAGTCCAGAGTTCTGTCCTGTCTTTTGTAAGTAGCAGCATGCTGGCAAGATCGTCACTTAGGATAAGTGCCTATACGTCCATGGAAATGGCAGCATGAGGCGGTGTGCCTCCGAATACTTGTCTTTCCAGAACAGTCCGTGGCAGTGCTGGCCCCAGGTCATGTGCAGGGCGGCTCCTGGCAGGACCAGACTGGGATGAGCAGGGTTGGTGTGGGAGTAGGCTGTGTGTGTGCGCGTGCGAAGGAGAGAGAGAGGGCTCTCAAAAGCGCTGTTGCAGAAACCACAGGCTGTGCAGATGACCTGCAGGCTGGCGGTGGTTTTCTTTCTTGGGGCGCAGGTTCTTCTCTCCAGCCCCACCCCCCTACCCAGCAGATGGGGTCTTCTGTTGGGGCGTGTCTGGGCCAGCTGGGTTCCCGTGTGTGACTGTGATGGGGTTGTGTTCTTCTGGGGAGTTGTCTGGTTGTGGAACCTTTTTGAAGAAAATACCTTTTCTGTGGTTAATTGAACAGCCAAGCGCTCGCATTCCCAGCTGACCCGTCGGTCGGGTGAGCTGCAGACAGGCTCCCAGGTGCGTGTGTTTGGTGTGTGCCTGTCTCGGTAGCACCTCCATGCTGCTGCTTCAGTATCTTTAACTGGTCGTGTCTTAACCGGGAGCCACGGACTTGACTGGTTGTATTTCTTTTCTGATGATCATGGAGTTAAATTCCAGCCAGTGAATGGAGCATCCGGCACCACCTGTGCTTAGCTCCGTGTGTGCTTTGGGAAGCCGCTTCCTGCTGTTGACTTTCTCTCCGACCCACCTGTGCTTCGCTGAACTTGGTCTGTTGCAGACGGACCATCCTCCCGTTGTTTGTGTTGAGTTAGTTGCTGGGCTCTGGCCGCTCTGTGTTTCTGTCTCTGCAGTTCAGGAAACTGAGAAAAGTGCTCAAAGTGGGAAAGTGAGTCAGGCCAGAGGGGTGGAGGGGCCCTTAGGGGCCGGGGTAAGAGGAGAGCACAGGGAGGGGGTGGGGACCGCAGTGACATCACAGTGGGTGCTGCGTGTGTATGTGTGTGTGTGTGTCCCCCACCTGTGAGTCTCCGTCCTGGAGCTCCCGCTGTCCCAACCCCTGAGCGCAGCCTTGACCCTTGGTTCTCTGATGGACCCCAGTGTGCCGCTCTGTCCCCCACGCAGCTCCTACCACCGGGGCAGGCCTGCGCTTCAAGGTGGAAGTCAGCCAGCCTTTCTCTGGGTCCTGCTGAAACCCTTGAGCTGCTCCAGGCCTGTTTAGGCGCAGACGACATCCCCTGCGGGCGCTGCTCTCCAGTGTGGGGCACAGGTCTGCTTGTCCCCTGAGGTCCGAGCTGCTGACAGCAGGGACTCCGTGTGTACCAGGGGGACGTGGGCCATGGAGCACCCCAGCGTGGAGTCTGGACAGACTCCGAGGGGGGCAGGGTGCTGTGACCGCTGGGTGAGGTGGTGGGCCTCAGGAAACAACACACAGCTCCACTCCATCTTTGGTAGGAGGCCTGTGCGCCTGCGTGCCCGTGTACGGGATTGTTTGCTTTATGAAGCTTTCACGTTGACGCAAACGTTTTATCTTTAGCATGTAATCTCCAAACTATAGCCATTGGGCTGGGTGAACATCATCAACAGGTATGTCAGACTCTGGAGGATGTGTGTGGTGGAGCATCTGCCTAACTGGACCTAACTGGGGCTCTGCTCTCTCTCTCTCTCTCTCACAGATACATGTCACAGAGCAAGCACACAGAGGCGCGGGAACTCATGTGCTCAGGGGCACTGCTGTTCTTCAGCCACGGCCAAGTACGCAGGGGCCTCGTCCCCTTCCCTGCTTGGGGTGTCCCCTTCCCTGCTTGGGGCCTGCGGGTTGGAAAAGGACCTTCCAGGGAGAGGCCTTGTTGTTGGCACTGGCCACAGCCAGGCGAGTGTCCTCGTGTCCCGGGGCACTGAGAGAGCTGGTGCCCGTGCACCTGGGGTCTTGGTCCTTCACGCCGCACTGCCGAGTGAGTGCTGGGCTCAGAGTAGCGTCCTTAGCTTCGGTCCACCGTGCGTTGCTAGCTGGAAACCAGAGTGGCCGTCCAGCTTTACCGTGGCTTCTGGGAACAAGCCAGAGCTGTTTTTGTGATTTTTACTCACTTCCATGTTTTATAGCAAAATAGTGCCGCGGACTTGTCCATGCTGGTCTTAGAGTCGCTGGAGAAGGCAGAAGTCGAGGTGGCCGATGAGCTGCTGGGTGAGGCTTTATTACTGTGCATGAGGTACCTTCTCATGTGGAATATGACACCCCTGTGCACACTCTGTGGCAGATGGTGGCCTCTGGTTTGTCCGAGAGACCTGGCTTGCCAGCCTGCCCCATGTGGTAAATGTGCAATGGGGGAGGTCCTTCTTAGGAGCTGCCCAGCCAGAAGAATGGAGGCGGGGCCTGCTCCTGGCCTCTGCACCCCAGCGTGTTACCTCCCTACCTGCCCAGGTCTTGCTCCTCTGCGGGCCAGCTCTCTGCTAGAGCCCACCCTCCCACCCAGCTCCCCGACAAAGGCTGAGCCATGAGGCCACAAAAGAGCATGTGGCTGCTGGCTCTGCAGCTGAGAGGTCGGTTGGGGGGGGTCCTGGGACCTGGGGGTGGGAGGATGCATGATGAGGACACCCCGGCATGCCAATTTCCAGGTTTTGAAGTGAAGTAACTGTTGTAGTGAACTTCTATAAGATACAGCATATAGAGCTGAGCAGTAGCGTGTTTCTCTGGGTAAGAGTCTGTGTTTGTGTTGTTTTAGAAAATCTGGCCAAACTGTTCAGTTTGATGGACCCAAATTCTCCAGAACGAGTGGCTTTTGTGTCTCGAGCCCTGAAGTGGTCCAGTGGAGGATCTGGGAAACTGGGCCACCCCCGGCTCCACCAGCTGCTGGCCCTCACCCTCTGGAAAGGTAGGCCGGGGGCACTTGTGCAGACAGCAGCTCTCAGGGGCGGGTGCAAGCCGTCCCGGGGACAGCTGTCCCTTCTTACGCCCCACGCGGCTTGTATTTGTGTTAGCCGCTTTACTCAGGTGAACTCCTGGGCCACAGGAGGTAAGGAGGGGAGATTTTGCTCTCCACCGGCCTGGCCCTTCCTGCCCGTGGGCCTTGACCGTACCCCCACCAGCCTCCCTTCTGGGACATCCTCCCCAGACCGGCCCTCTGATGGCACCCTGCTCTGTGTTTTCTTCACATTTACCTCAGCTTCTGAATAAGCATTTGTGGGGACTGTTCAGTCCACGAAGGGGGGATCCTGGTGGTTCCTGGGTGTGGTTCCCATCCTGAGCTCTGAGTCTTGCTCTCAGGCACAGGAAAAGGCATTTGGTTGGGTTCAGGAGAATTTGAAGAGCTGTCTCCTACGTGGTGAGTACCTTGCAGGCGGCTCATTCACAGTGCATCAGCCTTCGTGGGGGTACGGCTGGGCAAGGGGTAGGTGAAGGGATGTGATGGTGGGCAGGTGCCTTGGTGGGAGCAGAGGGGCAGCCTCCTTCACTTGGGGGCAGCCTTCCGCCAGCAATGTCGGTGACAGCAAGCTCCTCCTGGAAACAGCCTGCTTGCAGCAGGCGGCACGGTGGTCAGACAGACAGATCTGTCTCCTCCACGGTCAGCGGGCCCAGGGCGTGTTCCTGCTTGTGGTGGGCACCCGCCATGAACCCAGCACTTGTTCGTGCTGGGAAGCCAGCCGTGTGAGCATCTGCGGGCAGTGGTGCTCACTCCACTGTGTGTCCCCACCCGCTGTGACCCACGAGGTGGGAGGTTTCTCCATTCCCTGCGTGCTGGCACGGCAGCCCTACCCTCACCCCGAGGGACATGACGAGAAAACGGTCAGATGTCAATTCAGAGGTTGGACAGTCCAGGAAGCGCTTCTTGGAGGGTGCAGTGGAATCCCTCCCCCACCCCGATCCAAGAGGCATGTGGGGCCCGAGAACTAGCAGCTGACACCTCGAGGCCGAGGCCGTCGCCATCGTGGGCTCCCTCCTCTGCTGGCGCACGTTTCCCGTGGGCGCCTTGCTCCTCCGGACTTGGCCTCAGCCCGCTGCCCTGGCCTGCCCAACTGGCATGGTCCCCGTGTATTTTCTGTCTGTCTGTCCCGCCCTCAGGACACTAGTGTGCGTTCGCTGAGCTCGGTGGGGGGCCATCTGCACTCGCCAGCCTGGCGGGGGTGCCCTGGACTCCCGCCTTGTCTTCCAGGGGTGCTCAGTCTGCACGTGCAAGGGGATGGCAGCGCCTGCGGCAACCCTCTGTGATCAACAAGCGTTGATTTGGCACCGTTATGCCCGGTCTGTGTTTGTGGGTGTGTGGGGAGATGCCAGGAAGAAAACGGGGCATGACCCAGTGTCTGTGGCAAAGAAGCAGAACTGAGGCTTCAGGAGTCCCTCAGAGCCCTCGCCGGCTAAGAGCCAGCTGTAAGGCGTGGATGTTTAACGGGACGGTTTTAAAATTCAAGAGACCGCAGTTGCACGTAGTGCTTGAGGCACAAACCCCAAGTAGAGGAGCGCGGATTCCACGTCCTGTCCTGCTCTGCAATGTCCACGATGTCTGGAGGCTGTGCTTAGGGACCTCTGCTGAGCTGTGGTGTCTGGGGCAGGCCCAGGTGGGGACCTCCGGGGAGGTGTGTCCCCCGATGGGGGCGGAGCCACCTGCCACCACATCGGTTTGCCATCCGCAGCTCGCCGCCTCTGGGCGTGTTCGCTGTGTGTGGTGGTCCGTTATTCAGGCGTCCCTCGTTCGGTTGCGCACGTTTTACGAAGTCAGGGTTTGTGGCGGCCCTGCCTCGAGCAAGCTTGCTGGCGCCACGTTGCCAACCGCACTTGTTCACTTGGTGTCCCCGCGTCATAGTCGGTCGTTCTAGCAACAGCGCAGGCTTTTTCATTATAACTTGTTACGATGGTCTGTGACCGTGGTCTCTGATCCTGTCCTGGTTTTGGGGCGCCAGGAGCTGCGTTCATGGAAGAGGGTGCCTTTCCCCGATAAATGTGTGTATGCTGACTGCTCTACCAACCAGCCCGTCCCATGTCTCTCCCCTTCTTCCGGCCTCCGTGTTTCCTGAGACCCAACGGTATTGAAATTGGGCCAGTTCGTGACCCTACAGTGGCCTCATCCGAACGAAAGGAAGAGTCCCACGTCTCTCATTTTAAGTAACACACTTCCGAGGGTTCAGCTCAGTGAGGATGGCTTGTCCAAAGCTGAGGTAGGCTGAAAGCCAGGCCTCTTGTACCAAACAGCAAGTAGTGAACGCAAAGCGCCCGCTCCTGAAGGACGTGACAAGGGTTAGTCCAGTGACACGTGAATGAAGGGAAAGCTGATACGGAGACAGTTTGAGTGGTCAGGATAGAAGGTCAGCCACAAAATCCCCTCAAGGCAAAGCCTGCTCCGGAGCGAGGCCTTGACCCTCCTCAGTTCCATGGAGGCTGAAGGAGGTGAGGAGGCTGCAGAACGAGGGTTTGAAGCTAGCAGAGGCTGGTTCGTGAGGTTTCAGGAAAGAAGACTTCTCCAAATATAAAAGTACAAGATGGACAGGTGGTAAATGTTGACACAGAAACAGTAGCAAATTATCCAGAAGATCTAGCTGATATCCTTACTGAAGGTGTCTGCACTCGACAGATTTTCAGTGACGATGAAACAGCCTGATAGAAGATGCCGTCTAGGACTTTCAGAACTTATGTACCTAGAGAGAAGTCAACGTCTGGCTTCAAAGCTTCAAAGGACAAGCTGATTCTCTTGTCAGGGGCTAATACAGCTGGTAACGTTAAGTTGAAGCCAATGCTCATTTACCATTCTGAAAACCTTAGGGCCCTTAAGAATTAGGCTAAATCTACTCTGCCCATCCTGTATAAATGCAACAACAAAGCCTGGATGACAGTGAATCTATTTACAACATGCCTTACTGAACAGTAAGCCCACTGTCGAGACCTACTGCTCAGAAAAAAGATTCCTTTCAATAGTACTGCTTGCTGACAATGCACCTGGTCACCCAAGAGCCCTGATGGAGATGAGCAGCAAGATGAATGTTTTCATGCCTGACACAACATCCATTCTGCAGCCCAAGGATCAAGGAGTCATTTCAACCTTCAGGTCTTATTATTTAATAAATACACTCCGTAAGGCTATCGCCGCCATAGACAGTGATTCCTCTGATGGTTCTGGGAAAAGTCCATTGAACACTTCCCAGAAAGGATTCATCATTCTAGATGTCACTGAGAACATCCATAATTTATAGGAAGAGGTCAAAATATCAGGAGTGACAGCAGTTTGAGGGACATTGATTCCAAACCTCATGGACGAGTTTGAGGGGTTCAAGACTCCATGGAGGAAGTCACTGCAGATGTGGTGGAAACGGCACGAGAACTAGAATCAGCAGTGGAGCCTGAACGTGGGACCCAACTGCTGCCATCTAACACTTGAACGGACGAAGATCTGCGTCTTATGGAGGAGCAAATAAACTGGTTTCTTGAGATGGGATCCACTCCCGGTGAAGATGCTGTGACGACTGTTGAAGTGACCACAAAGAATTCAGAGGATCATACAAACTGAGCTGATAAAGCAGGCAGTGGGGTGTCAGACGACTGACTCCCAGGCTGAAAGAAGTTCTCCTGTGGGTAGAATGCTATCCAACAGCATCCCACACTATAGAGAAATCCCTCATGAAAGGAAGCGTCCATCAGTGCCGCAAACGTCAGTGCTGTCTGATTTTAAGAACTTGGCATGGCCACCCCAGCCTTCAGCAGCCACCACCCTGATCAGTCAGCAGCCATCGATGACGAGGCAAGGCCCTCCACCAGCAAAAAAGACTGTGAGTCCCTGAAAGCTCAGGTGATGTTAGCATTTCTTAGCCGTCAAGCATTTTTTTTTTTTAAGATTTTATTTATTTATTTGTCAGAGAGAGCACAAGCAGGGGGAGCGGCAGAGGGAGAGAGAGAAGCAAGCTCCCCACTGAGCAGGGAGCCTGACGTGGGGCTCGATGCCAGGACCCTGGGATCATGACTTGAGCCTAAAGCAGACACTTAACCGACTGAGCCACCCAGGCGTCCCCTAAGTTAACTTTAATAGTGTGATTCGTAGGGGAAAATTCAGTCTTCTTAAAACCAACTGTTCATGTCAAAGGGACTTGAAATTCTCTAACCAAATCCTCCTATTTGATACTGAGACGGTTGGAGGCCTGGGTGTTGAAGAAATTGGCCTGTGGTGACGCAGCTAATGAACAGCCTGGCCGGGATTACAGTGCAGAGAACCCCAAGGAGCTCCAGCCTTTGAAGGCCCGTCTGAGTCCCGATCCCAGTGCTGGAGGGGGCGGGGCACGCTGAGCTCTCCTCCAGGTGGCTCTTGCCCGAGGACACAGAAGCAGGAAACAGAGCTGTGCTATTCTTGGATCGGGGGCCAGTGAGAAACTTACGTGTTCCTGCTCACGGTGTTGGCCTTTCCCCTTCGTTTCATTGATCATGACTAGTATTATATACTTACCTCTACAACCTGCTCCCTTGGGGGAAAGATACGAAGTGTTAAGCATTTTAACATAGATCCCTGTGAATACCGTCGCTCTAAAGGCCTGCCTCTGGAGGGTTTGTAAGCTGCTGACATAATGGTCCAGGTGGAAATGCGGTATCTGCAGGCACACTTCGTTTTGTTGCGCTCTGCAGGTAGTGTGTTCTTTACAAATTAGAAGTTCATGGAACTAGCAGGAGACCCAGAAGTGGAGCCTGAAGATGGGACTGAATTGCACCACTTGAAATAATGAGGAGTTGCTTCTTATGGATGAGCAAAGAAAGTGGTTTCTTGAGACAGCATCTACTCCTGATAAAGATGCTCTGAGGATTCTTGAAATGACAACAGAGGATTTAGAATATTGCATAAACTTAATTGATAAAGCAGCAGCAGGGTTGGAGAGGATTGACTCCAGTTTTGAAAGTTCTGTGGGTAGAACGCAATCCAACAGCATCCCATGCTACAGAGAAATCCCTCATGAGAGGAAGCGTCCATCAGTGCCGCAAACGTCAGTGCTGTCGATTTTAAGAACTTGGCATGGCCACCCCAGCCTTCAGCAGCCACCAGCCTGATCAGTCAGCAGCCATCGATGACGAGGCAGACCCTCCACCAGCAAAAAAGACTGTGAGTCCCTGAAAGCTCAGGTGGTGTTAGCATTTCTTAGCCGTCAAGCATTTCTTTTTTTTTTTTAAAGACTTTATTTATTTATTTGAGACAGAGAGAATGAGAGAGAGCAAGCACATGAGAGGGGGGAGGGTCAGAGGGAGAAGCAGACTCCCCACCGAGCAGGGAGCCCGACGCGGGACTCGATCCCAGGACTCCAGGATCATGACCTGAGCCGAAGGCAGCCTCCCAACCGACTGAGCCACCCAGGCGCCCAGCCGTCAAGCATTTCTTACTTAAGGCGTTCATAGACATAACGCTGCCACACACTTAACAGACTACGGTGTGGTGTCAGCATAGCTTTTATGTGCACTGGGAAGCCAGAAAGTTTGACCTGCTTTGTCGCAGAACTTGCTTTGTTGTGGTGGTCTGGAACCGGGCCCACAGTATGCCCGAGCTGCGCCTGGGTGTGACAGAGCACATGGGTGTCGTTTTGCCCAATTTCTCTTCTCATAGGATGCTCTAAAACCAAAAGCTTATTCCAGGGGGTCTGAGAGAGAGGAGAGACCGCACAGGTACGCAAAGAAATGCTGACTCCAAATTGTTGTGCATTCCTGAAGGCGGCACGCGGGGCCCTGAGAGCTGGTGTACCCAGGAGAAGGTGGCAGGCAGCAGAGGCCGGGGCCTGAGCCCTGGAAAGGCGTGGGAACCAGGTGGCTTGTGAGCAGTGATCCCGTTTGCTCCGGGAGACGGACCAGGGTGTGGGGAGGTGGTCTGGGAGGTGGCTCGGCCTAGGCTGGGTCTCTGCCTCAGCACAGCTGCCGCCCTGGGCGTCCTTTGCTCTGTCAGATGCTGAGCACACCCACTTAACTGTGGCAGCCGGAAAAGGAGGGGCTGGGGTGTTGAGTCCTCAGTGTGGAGGGGGAGAGGGGAGCAGGTAGATTTTTCAGTGATGAGTGGGGACAGTAGGTTTGCAGTCTGAGTCACTTACTGATGTTGAGAAGACTGGGATTTGGGTCATTTTTTTTTAAAGATTTTATTTATTCATGAGAGACAGAGAGAGAGAGAGAGAGGTAGAGGGAGAAGCAGGCTCCCAAGGAGCAGGGAGCCCGATGCGGGACTCGATCCCAGGACCCTGAGATCATGACCTGAGCTGAAGGCAGACGCTCAACCATCTGAGCCACCCAGGCGCCCGGATTTGGGTCATTTTTTAAAAAACAGAAACGCTGAGTGTTGGAGCAGACCGGCACTGTGGTGCTGTTAGCCCGAGAGCTTCCTGCGTCGCGGAACTTGACGCGCTGGGAGCCCCGTGTGCGGGCAGGAGGGTGGGGGCAGGATGGCGCGCTGGCGCCTGCATGTGCATCACTGTCCCCCTTCCCTCCGTAGAGCAGAACTACTGTGAGTCCCGGTACCACTTCCTGCACTCTGCGGACGGCGAAGGCTGTGCCCACATGCTGGTGGAGTACTCGACCTCCAGGGGCTTCCGCAGCGAGGTGGACATGTTCGTGGCCCAGGCTGTGCTACAGTAGGTACCCACTCTCGCTCGGTCCCAGCCGGGCCGCGTGGCTGTCCGGGTCCGCCCCGCGACCCCGCTGCAGACCTCTCGGCTCGGGGCCTGCCGTCCCTCTCCGCTCTGCCAGGCGGCTGCGGAAGTGAGTGTCTGTCCAGAATTAGTGTTCTGCTGTGACTCCCCAGTGTCTGTTTTCTCACGGCACCTCTTAGAGGTTTTTGGCTTTCTTAGCATCAGGCCACTGTTTCTTATAGGGCATGTGTATTTAATAAATTCCACGAGGTGTCTTGGAATGGGGACCGCACGTGCCTTTGAAGCGTTTCCAAGGCTGCGCCTGGCTTCCCGGACGTCTCGAGTGTGCGTCCCCACCCCGTCAGGCCTCCTCGCTTCCTCCTCCCCGTTTCCTCCTCCCCCTCCGTGCCCGCAGCAGGCCTGGGTGGTGCTGGCGCGCACGGCACACGGGAGGGGTCAGCGGCCCGCACCGCCCGCCCGAGCTCCGGGCGTCTCCTGCGTGTGCTCCTCCCGCAGACACATACCAGTTTGGTGGCCGGGCATCGGGATAGGAGATGTCTTAGGAATTTGAAGGGGTTGGGGTCACAGAACGCCCGCTGTATGCCCTCGACAGCACCTCGGAGCTTCCGCGCTCTGCAACTCACAGACAGACGTTTCTTCGACCCCAGCGCTCCCTGCCCCGGGCTGTGGGGTGTATGGTGCACAGAGTCCCGGGGCCAGACAGGATCATGTGCAACCACCTGACGCCTTCCCATCGGTCCCTCCCTATAGCTTAACAAGGTGGAGGCCCCCAGTGCAGATAGTCCAGCTGTGGAGACGCCCCCCTGGGGCAGAGAAAAGCCCGTCCCCCGCCCGGCACAGCACCCGGGGCCTGCGGCCTCGTTCCCACGGACCCCTGGGTTGACTGCTCATGTAGGCAGGGGCCTGACAGGTGCAAACAGGCTGTAGTCGCGACAACTCCCCGCAGTGTCCGAGCTCTGCTGCCCTTGGACACTGTCACCTTCCGAAGCTTCATCTCTTCACCCGTCAACTGTGGTAATCAGGAGGTGCCCTGCTCACGGGGGGCAGCTTGTCTGAGCACCGAGCCTGGCCCGGCGGGTCCTCGGTTTGCCGGAGCTGTGGGACGGGACAGCTTTCTGTGCCCCCGAGGCGTCCCGTGTGCCGTGCTCACCTGAGCACCTGTAGAAATGCCGCTGTGTTCTGCATCAGTCGCCCACTTACTAGGATGTTGCTTCCAGGTTTCTCTGTTTAAAAAACAAAAACAGCGCGTCGGTGGTGTTCACGACATACACACAGAAGCACCCGTCCATCGAGGACGGCCCTCCGTTCGTACAGCCTCTGCTCAACTTCATCTGGTTTCTGCTGTTGGCTGTAGACGGGTGAGTCTCCCATGTGTGTTTGGGGGGGTTGCACGTGTGCTTTTCTTCTTCGGCTCTCCATGATTTTCGCGTGGAAACAGAGTTGGGCCCGCTGTTCTCCTGTTTCAGAGGCAAACTGACCGTATTCACGGTGTTGTGTGAGCAGTACCAGCCGTCCCTGCGGCGGGACCCGATGTACAACGAGGTGAGAGCTGGGGGCAGCAGCCAGAGAGCAAGAGAAGTCCTCCGTCCCCGGGCGGCCCTCGGGAACAGGACGGGAACGGGACGGGCCCCGAAAGCATGGGGGAGGTCTTGCGCATGGGGCGTGTTCTGGCTCCACGGTGACCCCATGCCCCTCCTCTTGCAGTACCTCGACAGGATAGGACAGCTCTTCTTCGGCGTGCCGCCCAAGCAGACTTCTTCCTACGGGGGCTTGCTAGGTAAGGCTGGAGCAGGGGGTGCCTGCGGGGTGGGAGCAGAGCTGGCGTGGCCGCCTCACACCCTGGCCCCCCCCGGGGCGCTCTCTCCACTGCCCGGCTTGTGGTGGCGCTCTTCCGAGGCTCCGTGTCTCTGGCTGGCCTCGAGGTCCTTCTCCAGCAGATTCCCAAACATGCCTGAGAGGGTCCTGTTGGCCCTAGGGCTTCTCTCTCCTTTGGCCATAGAATCAAGGGGGATTTTTTCTTTTTTTATTCTGGTAAAATACACATATCCCAAAATTTGCTGTTTAATCATTTCTCAGTGTCCAGTTCAGGGGCACCGTCCCCCCGTCCGCCTCCAGAACGTTCCATCCCGCACACAGAGACCCTGTCCCCGTGACGCATGGACCCCCACCTGCTCCCCCAGCCCCGGCCCCGCCGTCTACCCTCTGTGTCCGTGAGTCTGACGACTCCAGGACCTTGTGGGAGTGGGGTCCCCGTGCGTGTCCTTCCGTGTCTGGCTCGTCCCCGTGGGGGCAGGGGTGGTTCCTTCCTTTAGAAGGCCGGGTCATACCCTGTGGTGTGGACGGACCACACTGTGTTCATCCATTCCTCTGTGGTGCACCCCATAATGCTGCTGTAAATGTGGGGGCATGTGCATCTGCTTGAGCCCCTGCATCCAGTGCTTTGGGTAATACACCCTGAGGTGGGATTGCTGGGTCACGTCGAAATTTGGTTTAACTTGTGAGATGCTGCCAGACTGCCTTCCACAGCGGCAGCCCCGTTTCCCATCCCGCCAGCCGTGCACAGGGTTCCAGTTTCTCCGTGTCCTCGCCCGCGTTTGCTGTTGTCTGTGCCTCAGTAGTGGGTGTGAGGGTCTCACCGTGGCTCTGATTCACATCGCCCTGACGGTTAGTGATGTTGAGCGTCTTTTCTTGTGCTTATTGGTCATTTGCATGTCTCTGTGTCCATTCAAGTCATGTGCCTATTTTTGAATCAGGTTGGTGATTTCTCTATACTGGATACTAATCCCTCATCAGATATAAAATTCCTGAACATTTTTTCCAATTCTGTGGATGGCCTCTTTTTTTTTTTAAAGACTATTTTTTAAAAGTTTCAGTGGGGCATTTGAGTGGTACAGTCGGTTGAGCATCCAGCTCTTGGTTTCGGCTCAGGTCATGATCTCAGGGTCCTGACATTGAACTCCATGTTGGACTCCACACTCAGCATGGAGTCTGCTTGGGATTCTCTGCCTCTCCCCCTGCTCGTGTGCACTCTCTCTAAAATAAATAAATTTTTTAAAAAGTAAGTAAAAGCAGTTTTAGCTTCACAGCAAGATAAAGAGGAAGGTATGGAGAATATCCGTTTCCGTCCGTGCCCCCCCACAGCTGTTACCGGCGCCCCCGTCAGAGTGGTGACCTTGTTAGAACTGATGAACTTACGTGGACACTGGAAGTTCATGGTTTACGTTGGGGTTACTTCCGATGTCATACATGTACAGTTTTAGACACACGTGTCCACCATTAGAAAGAGTCCTACAGAGTGGTTTCTGCCCTGAAAACCCTGTGCTCAGCCTGCTCACCCCTCCCCACACTCCACTGCCTTTTCTCTCTGTAGGTGCTTCTGATGCGCGGAATTTTAAATTTCCACGAAGTCCAGTATATCTGTCTCTCCTCCACTGCTCATGCCTTTGGTGTCCCATCCATAATGTCCTCGTCTGGCCCAGTGCGGTGAAGCTTCTGCCCCGTGTCGTCTTCTAAGAGTTCTGCTGTTCTCAGGTTTACACTGAGGTCCTTGATCCCTTTAGAGGGTTTTGGTACATGGTGTGAGGTGTAGGCGTCCGGCGTCCTTCTTTTCGAGGACGTCCAGTGTCCTGGCGTCATTGGCTGAAGAGACTGTCCGTCCCCCCGAGTGGTCTTGAAGCCCTTGTCAGAGCTGGTTTGACCCCTCTGCATGTGGGCTTATTTCTGGCCTCTGTGTTCTGTCCGGTGGGTCTCTGGGTGCCCACACCACACTGCTGTGCTCACTCTGGAGTAAGTTTTGAAATCAGGAAATGTGATCCCTCCGGTTTTGTTCTTTTTCAAGATCGTTTTGGCTGTTTGGGTCCATTGCAATTCCATATACATTTTAGGATGAGCTTTTCTTGCAGACAAGACATTGGGTTTTGACAGGGACTGCACTGAATCTGTGGATGGCAGTGGGTGGCACTGGTCTTTGCAGCGTGTCAAGTCCTCCAATCCACAGACTTGGGAAGCGCTTCCATTTATTTGTGACTTTAATCTCTTTCCCCGGTGGTCTGTGGTTTTCATTCGTGAGTCCTTCATCTCCCTGGTTAAGGTTAGTGCCTAAGTATTTTATTCTTTTTGATGCTGTTGTAAATGGAACGTTTTTATAATTTCTTTTTCAGATTGTTCGTTGCTGGCGTAAAGAAACGCAACGGATTGTCATGTGCTGACTTTGTATCCCATCACTTTGCTGAATTCACTTACTCTGACAGCTCTTTTGTGGAGTCTGTAGGGTTTTCCGCATATAAGACCATGTCGTACGCAAACAGATCATCTTGCTCCCTCCTCTCCGCTGTAGATGCCTCTTCCCTCGTCCTCGTGCCTGGTTGCCACGGCCGGAGCTGCCAGTACCGTGCGGACTGGAGGTGGTGCGGGCAGGCACCCTCCCCTTGCTCCTCCTCCTCGTCGAGGAGGAGTTGGCAGTCTTCCACCACCGAGGATTACGGTTGCCGTGGGGTTTTCAGAGACGGCGGGTACTGTGGGGGGGCAGTCCCTCCTGTTCCTGGCTTGTTGAGTGCTTTTACGAGAGCGTCGCGTTTGGTCAAGTGCTGTTCCTGCAGCAGTTGAGATGGACGATCGTGTGGGCTTCCCCTCGTTCTGCTGACGACTGGCGGGTTCTCACGGGGAGCCCTCTGTGCTTTCCACGAATAAAGCGCTTATTGTGGTGCGTCGTCCCTATTGTGCTGCCGAGTCCTGTTTTCCAGTGGTCTGTGTTCACAAGGGATACTGGTCTGTGATCTTCTCGTAGTATCTCTGGGGTTCTGCTGGCCGCGTCGGATGAGTTAGGAAGCACTCCCTCCCCCTCAATTCTTTTGGAAAAGTTTGGGAAGGATTGGTGTTGGTTATTAAGTGTTGAGTAGAATTCACCAGGAAAGCCATCAGGGCCAGGGCTGTTCTTCGTTGGGAATTTTTGATGATGGATCCGGTCTCCTTACTTGTTACTGGTCTGTTCAGATGGTCCACTTCTTCGTGGTTTAGTTTTGGTGGGTGCTGGAGGCCAGGCCTCTGCCCCTCATCTGCCTAGCCTGGCAACATGGTGTGGCCTTCCCCGCGGTCTCGTACGGACTTCTTCCCTCTGCCAGCCAACGGCCAGTTTAGTCCTTCATCTGAATGTGGATTTTGTGAGCCTGAATGTGGTGGGATTTTTGAGTAGATGCTGCTTCACAGAGTTCATCGTTCACCTGCACGTACTTAAACCAGTCTTGCCGTTGAGAGGTCTCATGTGGCCAGGCAGCATCGAGGCTTCCCTCCTCAGCTTCCTTCTGGAAGTGACGTCACAATCACAGGTGGCTGATCTACGTAAGGGATGCGTGTCCCCCACGCTGATGGCACCGTGTTCCTGCCGGAGCTGACATGGCCCCCAGGTGACAGGCTCCAGCGGGCGCTTGTCCCACAAAGCTTGGCAGTGCTGCTCACGCCCTACCGCCCAAATCCAGGTGGGCACCCTGCCTCGTGGGCCCCGCAGGGTTGGCCGGGCTGGGCGTTTGCGTCCTTTGAGCCATAACCACGCTCTGTGGAAAGGTCTTTTGTCTGAGATGATTTTGAAGGTTGCTATACACAGTTGGACTTTCTACTTGAAAACCGTGTCTGGATTTGTCTCGTGGAAGGTACTCCCGCCGTGTCCGGGCCTGGGTGGGGCTGCGTGCATCTGAAGCCGAGGTGGGGTTTGTGTGGATTGGCGTCTCTTGGGCGTGACGTCCCGCCCTCAAGCCTCGCACGGGTGTCCTGACGCTTGGTGCCCGTTCATGTCCCACCAGAACTTCAGACTTGCCCCTTCCGGCACCCTGGCTTCTGGTGGCCTGTTCGTTGGACCTGATTTCACATGCCCGAGTCTGTCCAGACAGCGTTGTTCTTTCCATGGTGGTTTGGCTTCAGGGGACCCTCTGATCTCCTGAGTTTGCATCAAATCGTTGTTCTCTGAATAAACGTGTCAGTGGTAGCAGCCCTGGGGGGGACGGTGGCCACCATTTCTGCATGCGAACGCGTCCTCACCTCTTTGTGATGTCCCCGTGTGATGTGCACTTGTGTGCCCGCTCGGCGGTGACCTCCCCGGGACGTGGTTCTGCTGACGACCCTCCGGGGCTGTCAGGCTGCCGTGCTGTGTCCCCCGGAGGGGCCCTGGGGGTCTTTCGCCGGCTGCCAGGGCCTTGCAGCCATGCTGAGTGTCCCCAGAGACTCGGGGGGGCCCCGGGAACATGGCACCATGGAAGGTGGGGTCCCCCGGGCAGGGGGTGCTGACCGCGTGCAGCCGCCGTGCCCCTGACGGCCCCTGCGTTTGCTTCCAGGGAACCTTCTGAGCAGCCTCATGGGCGCCTCGGAGCAGGAGGGCGAGGACAGTCAGGACGACAGCAGCCCCATTGAGCTCGACTGACCCCGCCCGCCTGGCCTGCATGAAGACGCCCTGAGCCCGGGCCCTCACACCCGGGGCTCCCGTTGTGAGGCGGTGGCGGCCGCCCGTGAGCCCGTGAGCTCGCCCGGGGCTGCGGCTGGGCCGGCTGGGCTGCACCTGCACCTTCAGACTGACCCACAATAAAGCACAGGCCTTGCTGCGCTACCACCCTTTCCCTGTCCTTTGTGTCTGGTTTGCTTTGGGAGACGACCCGGCGGCGGCACAGGCCCACAGCCCGACCCGTCGAAGATGGTGGGGGGGGGCGGCCGCCGGCGGCCCGGAGAGCATCTGGGCGGCCGCTCTGGGCCACACCGTGAGGCCGCGGCCATTTGGGATCAGGAGTCCTTTCCACGTTTCGTAATGCAGTATTTATTTTCATTGGGTGATTGGTTCCTTTGACCTGGCATTGTAGGTTTTAACCAAATAACCAGGAGTGAGCAGATCTGCCCTTCCTCACGCTATACCAGATGTTCCCAGAGCAATGACGAGAGGGAAACACTTTATTTTTTCACAATTAAATAAGAGTTGTAGATTAATACACAGTGATCATGCATGGGAAGGAGTTGAGATACACACTTTTATTGACTGTAAAATGGAATTTGAAGGAAGGTTTGTGTTACTTGTTGAGTTGAAATAAATCCTTTATACTGGGCTTTGCAGCGCTCGTCCTTTCTGAGGGAGCTCCTGGGGCCGGCGGGCGGGAGCGGTTGCCGAGACCAGTGGTGGCCGGGCCGGTGCGCGCTGTGCCCGCAGGGGGCGCTGTGGACGGCCACGAGCGGCCCGTGTCGGGAAGGTCTTGTGATTCTGTGTAACGACGTGGTGGTTTCTTTAAATGCGAGAAACCAAATCCAGTGGGGTCCTGCCTGGTCACAGGTTCTGCGTGCAGGCCACGGGGTGGGGGCAGGAGCACGCTGAGCCCCACCCCCAGACTGCCCACCGGGGCTCTCTGTGGAGGAGGGTGGTGGAGGGAGTCCTGGCAAGGGGCAGGCCCCACGCCTGCGACGGACCCCCGGCTTGTGCCGTGATGCTTGTTCTGAAGCCACGATAATGCGTCCGGCACAGTCGGTCCAGTGGGAGGGACGTCGGAGCAGAACGTGGGTTTTTCTGTGGAATTCCGCTAAGTAGATGAGCCCAGACCGCGCACACCTCCCGGCGTCCCTCCGCACTCCCCTCGTGGTGGCAGCGTCTGTCTGTCCTCAGCACGTGGAGACCCCCCTCCCGGGTGGGGGACCGCTTTGCAGCTGTGCACCTGACCCCGCTTTCCCTGTGAGCACGGCCACTTTTTCCATGCAGTTGTGAAGGGCACTGTCATTTCCTGGGAACGCGGCCTCCCGTTCGTAGCACGCGGGTCGTGGGTTGCCCACGTCTCCACTGGGCGGAGGTGTGTGAGGTAAGCACCGTGACCACCCTCTGCGGGCCATGAGCTCCCGACCTCGTTGGAGAACTCCCACCAGTGGTAGAACGTTCTGGTGGTTCTTTTTAACATGTTATCGTCTTGGGCACGACGCCCTTGAGTCTGGTCAAGACGGCCTAGAAGACCAGTCCCGGAGAATGCGTGGCTGGGGCTGCTCCCCGGATGGGGATGGGGAGGGGGAGTCCTGGGGGCCTCTCTCTTCATTTCCGCCCAGGATGAGAAACCCGCCCCCCCCCCCCCCCCCCCCCCCCGCCACCGCCTCTGGGGCTTGAGGTTCTTTGTCTAGAAGCGGGGAAGATGGGCTAGCGATCACGGGTGTGGCATCTGGCGTGGCTGGGGAAGAGGCACCTGCCTGGAGCAGGAGGGGGTGGGGGCCCTGGGTGACCCTGTGACTGTCCTCACCCCCCGGCCCAGCCATCTTGGGGACCGGAGCAGAGATGGGAGTGAGGGGGGCACTCCTCTCTTGCCCCTGCAGCTGCACCCCCATCCAGGCCTACACGGGTCTGAGCAGGGGAGCCCCATGCTCAGGTGCAGAGGGGAGATGGGGTGGTGGGAGTCAGGCCCACGACGATAGGCAGAGGCCCTGGGGCACCCTTCTGGGGACGTCCCCACTCCTGGCACGTATCGGAGCCCAGCAGGTAGGTCCTCCTGGGGACCCCATGCCCCCTCCCCAGCCCCTGACCTACACAAGGGGCCACTTCAGGATAGGACATGAGGGTTGGCGTGACAGGACACCCTGCCTTGGGGACGCTCTCCTGGTCCTCTCAAGGGCTGGTCCAGGGCTGCCTTAGGGGATGACGGGGGCTGGGGGGCCACCCAAATCACCCAGTCGGTACCCGCCACCTACACATGCTGCTTCTCTGCCCCCCCAGCCCCCCACTGGGGGAGGAGGCTAAGTGGTTGTAAGTACCGGCTGGCCAGTATGCTGGGTCCTGTGGGGGACTCTGGGCTTCCATCTTCCAAGGGCTCAGTGACCACAAGGTCAGGCTGGTGGGGTGGGTCAGCAGCCAGTGCCCAGCGGGGGGCAGACAGGAGCTGACCCTCCATTCGCCCTTCCAATCCAGGCGTGCTGGGGCCCAGGGAGCTGCAGCTCCCCAGTGCCTCTGACCCCCAGGGCCCTCACGCACGTGCCAGGTCAGCTGCTTGAGGAGGAGGACCATGTCCCCCATGCTAGCACCCAGGACCCCAGGACCGACACACAGCAGGTGCTCAATAAATACTTGTTGAGGGGGACTTGGAGGAGCAGGGTGGGGAGGGGAGGCATGCAGGCCGCCTGCTGTCCCCACGGCCCAGCCTCCTGGTCAGGGGCAGGGTCCTGCTCAGGTGGGCAGGGGGCAAGGGGAGTTGGTGAGGGGCTGCCAGGCTGCCCTGAGCCAGGAGGCCGGGCCTAGGCCTCAGAGGAAGGGTGGTTCAGTGGGTGGGTGGGCGGGTGGCAGCATGGTGGGGTCAGAGGTCAGGTCGGCCGGCCTGCAGTGAGGTTCCAGAGAAACAGGTCCTAGTGGCTAAAGCTCAGGCCCCACGTGGCCAAGTCCGGGGCCGCCACTTAGGGCCGGGGCCAGGAAGCCGGGTCCTTCATCTGCCAGCCCCCCAGTCTGGCCGCTGCCTCCCCGATGGCCACTTCAGCGAGTCCAGTTCCCTCGGGCCTCCAGAACCATCTCTCGTTAGGGTTTATGTTTGAAGTGGGCTTCCACTGGAAAAGGACAGGCGTTCAGCCGTGTCACGGCCACCCGGGAGGCGTTGGGCTCCCTCCCCTGCCACCCCCCCTGCACTCACCCGCGTACTCCTGGGGCAGCATGGGCCTGTCCACGACCTTCCGAAAAGCCTCCACCCAGGCCCGCTGCTCTGGCTCCGTCTCACAGGCCAGCAGGAACCTACGCCCTGGCGTCACGATGGTGATACCATGTGGCCAGTGGTGGCCCTGGGTGGATGGCGGGAGTCCGTCCAGCACCGTGTAGCCACTCTCCCTGCTGCCGATGAAGACTTCCCCACGAGCAAAGGCGTCCTGTGGGCAGAGGCCGGGCAGCCCCTAGGCAAGGGGGTGGCTTTGCTCTCAGCCGGGGAAGCCCCGACCCCAGAGACCCGGCCCGCCCTCCTGCTCCTCATCCCCGCCGCCTGCGGCCAGCAGACGGGGGCCTGTCGCTCATCTCCGTGTTGTGGGGGAGGACACGTCCACCCTGCAAGGGCCCAGCCGACCTGGGCCGAGACCCTCCCTTACCAGGGGATCTTTGAAGTACATGAGCCTCCGGTCATCCATGGTGAACCAGCGCTTCCGGAAGCCTTCTGTTTGCTGTGGGTCAGAGAGGGCCGGGGTCCCGCTGGTCAGCCTGAGGCGGGGCACCCCCCCGTGCGTTCATTCATCCTTCATTCATTCGCAGCGCCTTCTGTGGGCCCTGCTGCATCCTGCTCTGTCCGCCAGGTGGCTGCACTAAGGGCCTTTGCACGTGCTCTTCCTCCCCTCCCCACGTCCTACTCCTCGCGGTCCTCCCTGGGGGCCCCGTCCGGGCTGTGGGGCTACCGCGTGTGTGCTCCTCGAGGCAGGGAAGGGGCTGAGCTGGCCCCTGTAGGGCCCGAGGAGGTGCACGGGGGGGCCTGATGAAGGGGGGCGGAGGCACGAGGCCGGCTCAGCCCGATCCAGAGCCCCACAGTCCTGGGTCCACAGGGCCCCTGCTTACAAAAGGTTTTGGGGTCCAGGGCCATCCACACCAAGATGATCCGTTCAAAGTCCTCTCCCGGAGGTGCTCCTGGCACTTGGACCCACCACGGCCACCCCAGCCCCACCCAGCCCCAGGTAGCTGAGACGCTGATCTCAGAGGAGGCCTGGGGGGCTCAGGCCAGCTGGTCAGACCCACCTTGGGCCCCGTTTTCTCCATGTAGCCTTCCTTCAGGTAGTTCCGGGAGAGCTTCGGCACCAGCTAGGGCAGAAGATGGGCTCAGGCCTGGGCCGTCCTGGTCGCTCTCCCCCACACACCCCCGGCTCCCTCCCCACTTGCTTGCTGCCGCTGAGCTGAAATGCCCCAGAATAAAGGAGAGGGGTACAGTCCCCCAGCCCCCCAGCGGACACAAGCAGTCGCCACTCACATCAGCATCACTGGCCCCTGGGAATGCCACCTGCAGGTAGTGGAAGCGGGCAGCACGGAGCGCGTTGAACCAGTCCACGATCTCCTGTGGGTCAGAGGTAGGTGAACACAGGCAGGAGGGTGGATGCAGGCTGCCGGGGACGGTCCTGAGGTGGCCTGGGAGGACAGGGACGGCTCCACACGGGGGACGGGCCAGGGGGCCAGGGAACAAGCCATGCTGTGGCCAGCCAGCTCGGGATGGGCAGGGGACAAATGGGCGGGAGGGCCAATGTCAAGCCAGCCGGCCCCCAAGCCCTGATGCAGATTTGGGTGTGGGGAGGCTTTTCTCCTCTCACATGGGGTTATTTTTACAAACCGAGTATGTTGCCCAGAGCGAGGCTCATCTATTTTTAAATCCACCCAGAGCTGCTGCCTCCCATCTTCAAGGGGAGGAGGAGGAGAGAGCTGCTCTGCGTGAGCCGAACCCCCTCGCTGGACAGGGTGGGCCCGCAGCCCCTACCCCTCCTGGCTGCCATGCCCCACCACTCCCGAGACACCTGCCCACGGGATGCTGGAATCTGCCCAAGTATCTCCTTCCCCTGCCAACAGCTGGCCATTGCCAGCCACAGGGCACCTGCATGCCTGTGAGGGCTCCAGAGCCCACTCCTGCCCAAGGGGTCATCCCACGGCCACCTGGACCCCAGCTAAAGTTACTCCTCCTCCACCACGCCCACCTGCTGCATGGGCCAGGTCCATGCTGCAGTGTCTACACCAACGCTCTGTCTCCCCCACCTGGTGCACAGGGTTCCCAATCCAGGCTGTGACTTTAACACTCTGGGCCCTGCCCACAACCCTCTTCACCCCTGGTGCACCCAACCCCATTCTAGGCACCAGTGAACTCTCCAGTCCCTCCCCTGGGGCCAGAAGGCATTGTCTCCTGCCTGCTCCCCGGCACTGGTCTCCCTCCTCCCTCAGGACTCCCTCAGCTCACTGAAACCATGGCAGCTGGATAGGTCAGTGGCAGTTCAAGTTGGCCATGACATCTTCCAAGCAGAACACTGCACCTCTAATAAAGATACAAGTCCACAGCATGGCCACAGGCCCTGCAGGATCTGCCCAGCTCAAATGCCCTTCCTTTCCTACCTCAGCCTGGTCAGCTTCTCAAAATTATCCTTTTCCATCTGGCCACAGGGCCTTAGCACATGCCATCCCAGTACCTGTCTTCACCTTTGGGATGTGGTCCCTGCCCCCCCCACTGTGCAGAGTCACTGTTCCTAGCCCTCAGTGTAAGGAGGATTTTAGTCGCTGGTCTCTGACTCACGCCCGTCTCTACGGGCACACGGTGCAGTCACTACCTGACGGCAGAGCCATGTCAGACAGGCTTACCTGTATCTAGGCACAGAGCCCAGCCCAGAGCAGGTACCCTAACCACAATCCTCTCTGAGGGAGGGGGACCACTGGGGACTCAGGCCAGCAGAGCATCATGCTACACATACAGAAGGGCCCTGGGCTCAGTCTCCCAAGGAAAATGAGGGTGGAGGCTTCTGGATAAAGCTGAAGACTGGCCCATATGCCTTGAGCCATGACCCGCCTAAAACCTGTTCATACCACATGCAATCTTACAAAACCAGGATCAGGAAGAAATAGAAAATTTGAACACACAATAATTATTACTAGTAACAAAATGGAATCTGTAACCAAAGAACACAACACACAAAAGTCCAGGACCAGGTGGCTTCACCAGTGAATTTTACCAAACATTTAAAAAAGAGTTAATAGCTATTCTCAAACTATTGCAAAAAAATAGAAGGAAAGCTTCCAGATTCATTCTATGAGGCCAGCATTACCCTGATAACAAACCAGACACACTGTGAAAAAAGAGAACTACAGGTCAGTATTTCTGATGAACACAGATGCAAAAATCCTCAACGAAATACCAGCAAACCAAATCCAACAATACATTGAAAGGATCATTCACCCCAAGCAAGTAGGTTTCTTCCAGGGATGCAAGGATGGCTCAACATTTGCAAACCAATCAACGGGACATGTCACATCAACAAAACATTTAAAAACCATATGATCATCTCAGTAGATGCAGAAAAAGCAAAGGAAAGCAATTGACAAAGTACAACATCTCTTCACGATAAAGCAGGGTTAGATGGGACATATGTTGACATGATGAAGGCCTGCTTATGTGACAAGTCTACAGCTGACCTCATGTGCAGTAGGGAAAAACAGTGCTTTTCCCCTAAGATCAGGATCAAGGATGAAATAACAATAGTAACTTGAAGCTATATGGAGAAATGATCTCAGGAAAGGTAACTACTCTTTGTTATCTACATGATATAAAAGACTAATACTTTTGGGGCGCCTGGGTGGCTCAGTTGGTTAAGTGTCTGCCTTCGGCTCAGGTCAGTATCCCAGGGTCCTAGGATCGAGACCCTGTCGGGCTCCCTGCCAAACAAGGAGTATGCTTCTTCCTCTCCTCCCTGTTCATGTTCTCTGTCGCTTTCTCTCTTAAATAAATAAAATCTTTTAAAAAGTAAAAAGACTAATACTTTTAAAGAAAAATAATCAGGAATTAAAAGCTGCTATTACTGTAACTTACTTGTAATTGCAAATCTTGTTTTATGCCTACATTAGGAGACAGTGCATTTAAAAGAATGATTATGTCTTGGGGCACACAACGTGTAAAGATGAAATACTGTGACTTCGACAACCAAAAGGGTGTCGTACAGACAGCTGTGAAGGAACAGGGTTTCTGCACGTTACTGAAGTTAGACTACTACAGATTCGATATAGAAGGTTATAAATTTAGGATGTTAAATATAATCCCCATGGTAGCCAGGAAGAAAAGAGCTATAGAATATACACAAAAGGAAATTAGGAGGGAATTTAAACATTTCACATAAACTAAACACAGAAGACGACAGGAATGCAGGAAACGAGGGACAAAAAAAGCTGTAGGCCACACACAACATAAAGGGCACAAGGGAGGAGGAAGTCCCTCCTTACCAGCGTTCACATTACAGGTAAAGGGATGAACCTCTCCAGTCAACAGGCAGAGAACGGCAGGACGGACAGAAACACGTGGTACACCACGGGCTGTCCACGAGAGATGTGGCCCAGATCTAAAGACACAGCGGGTCGGAAGTCAAAGGATGGGAGAGGATACCGTGCGTGGACAGCCAGCAGGAGAGAGCTGGAGTGGTTTCACGAACATCAGACAGACTAAGTCAGGAAAAGCCCACAGGGACGAAGGAGGACAGTCTATGTGAGTAGAAGCCTCGATACAGCAAGAAGGTCTAACAATTACATTTACGCACCTAATGACAGACTATCCAAGCACAGGAAGCCGAACCCGACAGAGCTGGAGGGGGACATCGCCAGCCTCGAATGACAGCTGGACACCGCGATGCTGCACTCACACTGATGGACAGAGACATCCGGCAGGAGTAAGGAAACCGAGGAGCCAGGACGGCACACGCATTCCTCCCTAGGGCCCGCGGGGCGTCGTACCGTTGTACGGGATCGACCACACGTGAGGCCGCAGGTAAGTCTAGATCGATTTTAAAAGGTAGGTGTCTTACAGAGTACCTTCTCTGGCCACAACAGGGTGGAGTTAGAAGTCAACACAAAGAAAACTGGGACATTCACAATGTGGCGGAAATGTAACACGCTTTTAAACGACCAGTGGATCAAGGAAGAGATCACAAGGGAAATTAGAAATGAAATGAAATTAGATGAAGGAAAGCAAAACACGACACCAGAACACAGGATGTAGCAACGGTGGTGCTAACGGGGAAATCTGTAGCTATAAATGGTGACATTACAAAACAAGAAGGATGTCAAGCCAACGACCGAACTTACAACCGAAGGAACTAGGCAAAGAAGAAACTAAACCCAAAGCTGGCAGAAGGGAGGAAATCGTAAGGACTGGAGTAGAGATCAATGAAATGGAGAAAAGAAAACCAATAGAGAAAATAAATGAAAGCAAAAGTTGCTTCTTTGAGAAGATCAATGCATCGGCATGCCTTGAGCTGGATGGCCTAAGAAACTGACTCAAGTCACTCAAATCAGACACAAAGCTGGGGACGCTGCTCCCAGAAATAAAAAGGTCTATGAGAGCGTGCTGTGAACAACCGTACACCAACAACAGGGTCACCTCGATGAAGTGGACAAATTCCTGGAAACAGAAAACCCACCAATTCTAAGTCAGGAAGAAGTGGACCATCTGAATGGTCCTATAAACGAGTAAGGAGACCGGATCCATCATCAAAAATTCCCAACGAAGAACAGCCCTGGCCCTGATGGCTTTCCTGGTGAATTCTACTCAACACTTAATAACCAACACCAATCCTTCCCACACTTTTCCAAAAGAATTGAGGGGGAGGGAGCACTTCCTAACTCTTTCTGTGAGCTCTTCTATATTATACCCAGCATAACCTGGATACCAAAGCCAGACAAAAATACAAGACAACCACAGACCCATAGCCCTTGTGAACACTGATGTAAAAGTCCTCAACAAGATACTAATGAACCGAATTCAGCAGTATATTAAGGATTATACACCATGACCAAGTGAGATTTATTCCTAAAATGCAAGGGATTCTCAACATGAAAACTGATGAAGTTAATACACCACATTAATAGAATGAAGGAAAAACAAATCACATGATCATCTTAGTTGATGCATTAAATGTATTTGACAAAATTCATATGGAATATCTGGGAACCCAAGTAGCCAAATAATCCTTAAAAAGAACAAAACTGGAAGAACTGCACTTCTAATTTCAAAACTTATGACGAAGTCACAGCAGTCCAAAGAGCATGGCACTGGCATAAAGACAGACATAGACCAGTGGAATAGGAGAGAGAGCCCAGAAATTGGTCAAATTATTTGTTGAGAAAAGTGTCAATACCATTTAATCGGGAAAGGACTGTCTTTTCAACGGTACTGCGGAAACTGGATATCCACGTAAAAAAGAATGAAGTTGGGTGCGCCTGGGTGGCTCAGTCGTTAAGCGTCTGCCTTCGGCTCAGGTCATGATCCCAGGGTCCTGGGACTGAGCCCCACATCAGGCTCCCTGCCCAGTGGGGAGCCTGTTTCTCCCTCTCTCTCTCTCTGCCTGCCACTCTGCCTACTTGTGTTCTCTCTGTCAAATAAATAAATAAAATATTAAAAAAAAAAAAATGAAGTTGGGGTATGTGCACCCCTTTATAGCAGCAATGTCCACAATAGCCAAACTGTGGAAAGAGCCAACATGTCCATCGACAGATGAATGGATAAAGAAGAGGTGGTATTTATATATACAATGGAATATTATGCAGCCATCAAAAGGAATGAGATCTTGCCATTTGCAACGACGTGGATGGAACTGGAGGGTATTATGCTGAGCGAAATAAGTCAATCAGAGAAAGACATGTATCATATGACCTCACTGATATAAGGAATTCTTAATCTCAGGAAACAAACTGAGGGTCGCTGGAGTGTGGGGTGGGGTGGGAGGGATGGGGTGACTGGGTGATAGACACTGGGGAGGGTATGTGCTCTGGTAAGCGCTGTGAATTGTGCAAGACTGTTGAATCTCAGATCTGTACCTCTGAAACAAATAAGGCAATATATGTTAAGAAAAAAATAAAAGAAGATAGCAGGAGGGGAAGAATGAAGGGGAAATCGGAGGGGGAGACGAACCATGAGAGACGATGGACTCTGAAAAACAAACTGAGGGTTCTGGGGGGGAGGGGGTGGGAGGATGGGTTGGCCCGGTGGTGGGTATTGAGGAGGGCCCATTCTGCATGGAGCACTGGGTGTTGTGCACAAACAATGAATCATGGAACACTTCATCTAAAACTAATGATGTAATGTATGGTGATTAATGTAACATAATAAAAAAAAATGAAGTTGGACTCATATAAAAATTAACTCAGTGGGGGGCAGCGGGCGCGTGGGTGGCTCAGGTCATGATCTCAGGTCCTGGGATCAAGCCCCGCGTCGGGCTCCCTGCTCAGTGGGGAGCCTGCTTCTCCCTCTGCCCCTCCCCCTCCCCCCTCCCCTGCTCTAATAAATAACTGCTCTAATAAATAAATAAAATCTTTAAAAAAAATCAACTCAGTGGATCAAAGACCTAAACATAAACCTGAACCATACAAATCTCTGAAGAAAACACAAGGCAAAAGCTTCATGACGCTGGACATGTCGATGATTTTGTTGATCTGACACCACAGGCGTCGGCAGCAAAAGACAGACTGGAGTTTATGAAAATTTAAAAATTTTGTGCTCCAGGGGACACTATCCACAGAGCGAAAGGCAACCCACAGATTGGGAGACAACGTTTTCAAGTCGTGTGTCTGCTAAGAGATCAATATCCAGAATATATAGAGAAGCCCCAAAACTCAACACCTGAAAAAACCACCAAAATCCAAAATGGGCAAAATGGGACCTGAACAGACCTTTCCCTGAAGACACACAAACGGCCAACCAGGACATGGAAAGATGCTCAACCTCAGTCATCATCAGGGAAATGCAGATGAAAAGCAACACGCGAGCACCTCGCACACCTCACGGTGCCCGTCAGAACCCAGAAACAGCTACCGGCGAGGACGGGGAGGGAGCAGCACCCTCGTGCCCTGTCGGGGGGAACGCAAACCGTGCAGCTGCTGTGGACAAGAGTGGGGAGGGCCCTCAAAACAGTTACCTTCTGGCTTCTGGCTATATAATCACAAGAATTGAATGTAGGGTCTCAGGTATTTGTAGCCCCAAGTTCACAGCAGCATCCTTCATGACACCACCAGCTGTCCGTCAGGGTAGGGGCTGATAAACACAGTGTGGTCCGTCCACACGACAGATCACTCAGCCGTAGGAAGCAACCGGACCCCTGCCCCCATGGGGACGGGGCCCGAGGACACGAGCCAGGCCCAGAAGGACACGCACGGGGACCCCACTCCCACGAGGTCCCAGAGTCGTCAGACTCACAGAGGGTAGATGGCGGGGCCGGGGCTGGGGGAGCGGGTGGGGGTCTGTGCGTCACAGGGACAGGGTCTCTGTGTGCAGGATGGAACATTCTGGAAGGGGTGGAGGGGATGGCTGCACAATGTACCCAGAACCGTATGCTTACACATCATGAAAATGGTGAATTTTAGGTGTATTTTTACTCAAGAAAAAAGGGAGAAGAGAGGTGGTTGCCAGACCCTTGTGTGGCTGAAGCGTCGCAGACACATTTTGCCCTTTAATCCACATGCCCGTGTTCCGGAGGTAAAAATGGAAAACCAAGGTCACAAGGAGGAGGGGCCACCCGTGACGAAAGGACAGACCCCGAGGGGTTGGCTGGGGGCTCCCGGCACCCTCACCCCGCAGAGGCTCTGGTGCGAGGGTGGGAGGGGATGGCTGGGTGATAGATCAGTGCTAAATGAAAGCAAAAGTTGCTTCTTTGAGAAGATCAATGCATCGGCATGCCTTGAGCTGGATGGCCTAAGAAACTGACTCAAGTCACTCAAATCAGACACAAAGCTGGGGACGCTGCTCCCAGAAATAAAAAGGTCTATGAGAGCGTGCTGTGAACAACCGTACACCAACAACAGGGTCACCTCGATGAAGTGGACAAATTCCTGGAAACAGAAAACCCACCAATTCTAAGTCAGGAAGAAGTGGACCATCTGAATGGTCCTATAAACGAGTAAGGAGACCGGATCCATCATCAAAAATTCCCAACGAAGAACAGCCCTGGCCCTGATGGCTTTAGGGATTCTAGGTCCGCTCCCCCCCAGGGCCCCGCTGGCTCCACGTGGCCGTGCAGGGTGGAGCACCCCAGCTCCCTGCCCCCACCAAGCAGCCCGGCACCCACCTTCCCGTCCTCGTGGTAGACAAAGATGTTGCGGGTACTGTTGTCCTTCAGGTAGGTGACCTGCAGGCCGTGCGGGTGGCCGATCTTGGCTGGCTGGAAGGTGGCGTTCAGATGCTCGATCTTCATGACAGCCTTGGGCTCCTTGGCCTGGAAGCAAGGCCGTTAGCTCCAGGCGGGCCTGTGGGTGCCAGCTGCGCTGTGTGGCTTTGGGTAAGTTACTTACACGCTCTGGTCCTGGGCTTCCTGACCTGTAAGTCTGAGGTAACAGCACTGCCCTCCCCAGGGGTGAGGAAGGGGGGCTGTCTGACACCCGGGCAGGCCCCCCTCCCCCCTGCAGCTCCTCCTGTCTGCTGTGCCCCCACCCCTGCTCCCGTCCTGCCAGCCTGGCTTTCCTCTTTGCCCGGGAGCTGGCAAACTGCCCTGCAGTGCCCTCTGTCTCTGTGTGTCACCGGGGATGTCCTGACCTGGAGGTGGTCTGGGTGGGCACAGGGCCCGGCCAGCCCTCCCCGCCCGCCGCCTGGATGACCCTGTTGGGCTTGGGAGCGCCCAGCATTACCAACCAGGCCCGGCCCCAGGGAGCGACTGCGACCAAGGGGTGGGCAGGGGTCCCCACGGGAGGGGGCAGCCACTCCAGGCCAGGAATTGCCTGAGGGCAGCTGGGGACAACGGCCAGTACAGGCCCCGTGCCGGGCTCACATCATTTCTGTTGAAATACTTCAGGGACCCTTCCCGCTCCGTCAGCACGAACTTCCGGCTTAAAAACTGCCCGTTGTCCCGGCCGCGCTTCCAGAGAAAGCCTTCTCGGTATCCTGGGGAGAGGGGGGGTGTGGGTCAGAGGGTCACAGTGGACCAGAGCGGAGGCCATCAGCCTGACCCACACGGAGGGTGTGGGCGAGAGGACTCCAGCCTGACGTCCGGCCTCTCGCCAGGAGACCTGTCGGCCTCAGGGCTGCGGAGCTTGGTGGACGCAGGCCGGACTCGCCCACGGCGCTGGGACCCGAGGCCACCCCCTCCCCAAAGGCTGCCCGCCGCTGCCTACTGCTTGGCGTGTTTTCCCATTTCCTTCCGGGAGCGTAAGAAACAGGGAAAGGGGTGCAGTGCACTACCCTGTGTGCAGGCCCACGGGCGAATGCGTGCGGAGACGCCTGTGTGGCCACCGGGGGGGTGGGGGGGAGGCAGAGCAGAGCAAGGTGCCCACTGCTGAGTCCTCAGGACAGCGGGACAGGGCTCGCACGTGTCTGGAGGGTCTGGGGACGGGCAGCGTCCTGCACTGTCCAGGTGAGCCCAAGGTCATCACAAGGGTCCTCGCACGCGGGAGGCGGAGGGAGAAGTGACTGTGGAAACAGGAGACGCAGGGAGGAGCCGGCCCTGCCCACCCCTCCACTCCAGCCCCCCGACTCTGCGGAGCTCGGAGCCCCGGATGCCCCAGGCCGTCGGGCACAGATTCTGTGGCCCGTTGCTCCAGTGGCCCTAGGAAGGGAATACTGTCCTCCCTTCATGTTCGGTCCTGTCACGTTCCCGTCAGTGAGGCCGGTTCCAGGACCTTGTGCCCAAGAGGAGCCGTGCCCCGTGTGCCCCCTGCCTGGCTGTGCTGTCCCTCCACAGGGCAGGGGCAGGGGAGCCTGCTGCCGCCGTGCCCGCAGCGCATTCCCAGCTCTGCCGGCCCCGCGGGGCTGAGTCTCCAGGGACACCCGCGTGCCGTGGGCGCGTTCCTCGGGGTTCGCCCGTCACAGTCAGGGTCTGTGGCTTCCCGTACAAACCGCCCGGCAGCTCTGCCCCGGGTTTCGGGCCGCTCTCCCCGGGGAACCCGTCCTGCTGCCACGCCCGAGGCCGGCCCGGAATGGGAGGAGAAGGCTGGACCGGCGTGCCCTCGGTGCCCGCGCGGGCGGTGCCACCCACCGCGGAGCCCAGACCCTGACAGCCGGGGCCGGTCGCATTCCGGACGCCACCTCTAGGCCCTGACCCGCGCTCGCCCCTGCAGCCCTAGCAGCCCCGCCCTGACACCACAGGGACAAGGAGCTATTTTCTCTGTGCTTGAGACACGCGACCCTAAAGAGGCGGCAGCCTGGCGTCGGGGAGGGGGCGGCTGGTGCCCCTCAGTCTGTGGCGGGACAGCGCCAGATGGGGCCTCTCCCCTCCCCCCGGGCCCCCTGCGCAGAGCGCCAGCAGGCCTATGCCCACTGTGTGCGCGGGAACCGAGTCCCCAGGCCCACACGGGGCCCTACGCAGAGCGACCACGTGAGCACTCTACCCAGGGCAGAGCTGCAAGTCCACCGGCCCGCAGGGCAGCCACGCGTGGACGCAGGGACGCGCCCGAGGGTGGTGTCTGCTCAGCAGCTGGAGTCGTGCCATCTGCAGGGCGGGTGGCCACCCGCACCCGTGAACGTTGCCCACGACGAGGCCCTGGCTGAGCACGTCACCCACATGATCCTGTGCCGGCCCCAGAGGACTTCCAAGGTGTCATCCTCCTTGTACAGAAGGGGAACCTGAGGCACAGAGACGCGAGGTCCTGGTCCAAGGTCACCTTGCCAGCCAGCGCCGGCCTTGGGCCCTGCAGGACCCCCTGCCCCACGCCCGCCCGCCCGCCCGCCCGCCTTGCCTGCTGGGCCCAGCAGGCGGCAGCAGCGGCTCAGGACGCGGCCGGCGGCCGGCTGAGTGGGGTGGCCACCCAGCCCCACCGTCCACCCACACTCCCGCTGGCCCGGGCCCGGCCGGAAGCCGTGGGATGGAGGGGGCGCTGGCCCCAGTCGGCCTGGCTCCTGGGCCGCGTGCCCGCGACGGCCAGCGGCCAGGGTGCCCAATCCCAGGCCCCGGACAGCAGCAGCGGCAATTTCAGACGGGCGCTGGCCGGGGTCCCGGACTCGGCCCCGCCCAAGGACGGCTGTTCGGCGCTCCGTGAAGCCGGCGGCCTGCCCGTCCCGTCATGGCCTGGCCTCCCCGGGGAGGTGGGCCTGAGCGGGACGGCTCCCGCCCACCACACCGGGGCCTCCGAGCCGGGGTTCCCCGAGCCCTGCGGACTCCAGGGCGCCGTGCTGTCCCGACGTCTACCCGGGCTCGGGGTGTCTGTGCTGCACCAGCCTCCCCCCACGCCCCCGCCGACCGCACCCCTGCCAGAGGGTCTCCCCGGCGCACGCAGCGGGACGGGACCCAGCGGTGCCCCCCGACACGCATACCTGGAGCTTGGCTGTGCCGGGGAGACCGTCTCCTCCCAAAGGACCAGCCAGTCCTGGGGCACAGGCCAGATGCCTCACTCAGCATTTACTGGGCGCCTACGGTGTGCCACCCCTGCCGTGTGCGGGGCCCACCCGTCCGCGGCCTCCCCGCTGCCTCCTCCCGAAGCCCCTCTGAGGAGCGCCGACAGGAAGCGCGGGGATCCTCAGCACCGTCCGTGGTGATGGTCGGCCACCGCTGCCCCAGGAGTGGCCACAGCCAGCCACAGGAACGGCCGTCCCAGGTGCGGCAAGCGCACACGTACGGTGCCCTCTGCCGGAGGGACTGCAGGACAGCGGGCCACTCCGCAGAACTGCTTAAATTAACGAGGAACCGCCACACTCTTCTCACACGACCCAGAAAACCACGCCCACATGAAAGCCTCGAACTGAACACAACCCGAGGTCCCCAGCTGGGGACCTCATCCGCACACCAACACCTCTCCACACTCAGGTCGCAGCCATGGGGATGGCACGGCAGGGCCAACTTCCAGCGCGGCTGGCCCCGTGGAATGACCCCAGAAAAGGCAGGACTCTGGGGCATGGAGCCGGGCAGGGGCTGGGGCTGGGGGTGGCCGACAGCCTGCAGAGTGGGGCTGTCCTGTGTCTGCCTTGGTCACAGGACCATCCCCCGCACGGGGCTCACATGTGGACTGCACCTTACGTGAACAAGTTACACGTTGGCCTCTTCATTGCAGCAGGGACACGCGGCCTTGCTCTGAGGGGCAGGAGAGCTTGCCGGGGGGCCCAGGCTGGGTGTTCCGTGCCCAGACCCCGGGTGGCCCTCCCAGGGCAGGAGACGGGCCCCACACTGTGTGGCTTCTGCCAGGGGATGCCCGGTGGAAAGGTGTGCTCTGGGCATAGAGCCAGGACCTGAGAAGACACCAGGGAAACTGAGGCCCACCTTGGGCACCTCCGCAGAAGGGCCAGGACCTGGTTCCAGGCCTACAGGTTCTAGTCCCCACGAGGTTGACACGGGGGCCCAGGCCTGGCCTCCTTTGTCCCTCGCCCCCTGCTACCCTGGCCACCTCACTGGGGGACCAGCACAACCTCCCGCATGGCCAAGTCTGTGCCCCAAACCTGGTTCCCACGCAGATGCTGCCAGGAAGCGGCCAACAGTCCTGAATCCAGCGGGGGGTGGGTGGGGGGAGGCACATCTGGCCGAACCCCACAAACACCTTCCCTTGACTGGACCTGCACCTGCCACCCCAGGGATGCCTCAGGCCCACTGGGCGCATTACACCTAACATCAGTCAATGCTTCCAATGACGACCCCATGCTGAGTACCGTGTCCTCCCCACTACACAGAGGAGGAAACTGAGGCCCGGGGGGGATGGGCTCTGTCAGGCAGGGAGCTCTCTGCTCACCCTGTGACACTTAGGACAAAGGCGGGGCAGGGTGGCAGCTCTGGGACCGGCCCTGCTTTGCACAGAGAGGGGGCAGGGGGATGGGGTCCGAAGCCTCAGCAGGAAGTGCTGTGTCTGTCGGTGACTGGGGGCGGCCCGGGCGGCCTGGCCCTCGGGACAACGGGGGGCATTGTCCGGCCCGTGAAAGGCAGCCATTGAGGCTGTGGCTCGAGGCGGGCACAGTGTGGGGAGCGAGCCAGGAGGGTCCCCAGGGTCGCCCCGTGAGCCGGGGTGGGGCAGGTGAGGCCCCTTATCCGCACACGCCCGCGACCTTGACCAAGGGCGGGGGGTGCCAGGTTAGAGCCACTCGGAGCCCTGGGCCCGCGGCCCCCCCACACCCCTCGTTCCCCAGCACCAAGCGGTGCCCGGCGTCAGCGCGTGCGGTGACCTGAGGGGAGCCCCAGTGGCCGCGGTAGGGGCCTCAGAGCCGGCAGCCACCTCGGACGGCACGACTAACCCCCTTCATGGCAGCCCCACTGCCGCCCCAGCCCCGCGATGCCACCCGGGCACAACGTGCAGCTGCTTCTCGGCCTTGACGCCCTGAGCAGTGCTGGCCAGCGAGTCCGGTCAGGGTCCCTCCGCGGGGCCCGTCTGGCGTCTCCTCGCAGCCGAGGCGAGGCTTTGCATTTTCGGCAAGAACGTCACGGCAGCCACGCCGTCCGGACACTGGTGCCCCGTCCCCAGCAGCTTCTCAGCCGGCCGGGCCCTTTGCCTCCATTCCAATCCACATCCAGGGGAAGACGCTTCGAGACGCGCAAATGCCGGCTCCCCCCAGCTTCCTCGGATTTCGGCGCCTGGCGGGGTCCGGTCCACACCCGCTCCACTGGGGCCCTCGCTGCTGGCCGTCCCGTTCCCCCGTTTCTTCCTCGGTGACAGTGGACCTCTTCTGTCAGAAGGGCTGAGCCCTCCTCCCTCCCCGGTCCACACCCTCTGTGGGCAGGGCTCGTGTCCTCTCCCCCGTGGCCCGTCTTGTCACCCTCACGTCTGGCTTCGGGGCCTGGCACCCCGCAGACAACTGCGCTGGAGCCCTTCCTCCCGGGTGGTCTGGGGCACCACACGCAGTGGGACAAGTTGTGGGCGATGCACCCTGCGCCCACCATGCGCCGCTGGGGGCCCAGGCTCCCGCCACCTGCCGGTCCCCGTGGCCCCTCCGAGCTGGGTGGGGGGCTCGTGGCCTCTGGCCTGGGCCTCGCATGGCTCCCAGGGCCGGGGCCTTTCCTGGGGCCTTCAGCTCCCGTCCTCCTCGTGGGAGGGGCCGGGTGGGCATGTCCTCCCCTGGGCCTGAGAAAGTGCTCTTGTGGCAGGAAGTGCCCGCGGGAATCCCCTGGTGCTCCTCGCAGGGCTGGGGGAGGAGCCCACAAAGGGGAACCACAGGGCCAGGACACCTTGGGGTGCCCAGGTGCACCCACTCCAACACTGGGGCTGGCAGCAGGGGGCTCGGAGGGGCCGGGGCCTGTGCAGGCTTTGGTCTGGGGGCACCTGGCTGGCCCGGCCTCAGAGGCCGTGGGGCGTGGGGCCCCGGGTGCCCCCGAATGCTGCCCTTCCTCCTGGGAGCCCCAGGAGGGCATGTGGGGGGCCCTGGGGAGGCCCCTGCTGTGAGCAGGTGAGATTTAGCAGCTGTGCAGGGGACGGCGGCTTGGTGAGGGCCTCGGTGGCGGCAGGTGGGTGAAGCCTCCGCCCCTTCTGGCCCCGGAGGGGCTGACGGAGAAGCCATCGGCTCCAAGGCCACCGGCTCAGGGCCTGCTACCGTGCCCCTCCCGCAGTCCCGTGTGTCCCTGGCCCACTGTCTCACCCCTGTCCAAGAGGGACAGGGCTTGGCGGCACCAGGAGCTTGGAGGAATGCGTTCTAATGGGGGACCTCGGGCCTGGGACGGGGACACACCTGTAGGCAGGAAGGCCCCCAGCTTGTCACGCGGTCATTACCACCTCCTGAGCTCCGCGAGGCAGGAGGCAGAGACCGGGCCCTCGCAGACCTGAGCGCCTGGAACGGACCCAAACATGCAGGGGGGAGGTCTGTCGGGGTTGCTGCCCTGTGCGCACCCCCCACTTCCGGAACCCAGAGCCCGCTTTTTCCCGAGAGGGCAGCTCCGGGACAAAGAGGCAGGCCCACATCACACCTCCCGTCCCCCGAGACTGGGCCCCACCGCGCGCCTGCCCCGCCCCTCCCACCAGCACCTGCTCACCCTGCAGACAGCCCAGCACGGGCCCACCTCCCCGACCAGCCAGGGCACCCAGCGTGGCCCTGCCATCCCCATGGCACCCACCCCGTCTGAGCTGGGCTGCTGATGGCCACGGGCCCTGAGCACCAGGCCACCCAGCTCGGTGTCAGGAGGACCAGACACGGCCCAGACCAATTAGCTGGTCCTCCAGATTCGAAAGGAGTGCCAGGAGCGGGGAGGAGGGGTACAGAGACCAGGATAGAGAGACAGAGACAGAGAGACAAGGGACAGAGAGAGAGGGGGACAGAGGGACAGAGAAACAGGGCCAGAGGGAGAGGCACAGAGACAAGGGGCACAGAGCACAGGGCCTACCTGCGGAGTAGGGCTCCTGCTTGTCAGGGTGGGTGAACTCCTGCCGCTCGTACTTGGCCCGGATCCACTGCTCACGCAGGAGTCTGGGAGGAGAGAACACGTCGTGCTGGGCCGCACCACAGGGCTCACAGAGGCCCTGGCGCCCCGGGGGCACAAGGCCCCTGAAAGAACGCGTGTCCACCTCCGGAAGGCAGGGCTGAAGGGCCACCAGCTTTGATTTTTTAAAATTGTTCGCTAATCAGATAGTTTTACCACTAATACTTCCCCTTAAAAAAAAAACTAGCTCTGGGGCGCCTGGGTGGCTCAGTCGGTTGGGCGTCCGACTCTTGATTTCAGCTCAGGTCTTGGTCTCAGGGTCATGGGATCGAGTCCTGACATCAGGCTCTGCGCTCAGCGGAGATTCTCTTCCTCCGCCCTTCCCCCTGCTCGTGCTCTAAAATAAATAGATAAATCTTTGAAAAAAAATTAGCTCTAGGGGCGCTTGGCTGGCTGAGTCGCTGGAGCGAGCGACTCTTGATCTTGGGGTTGCGAGTTCGAGCCCCCCGCTGGGTGTAGAGTTTACTCGAAAAAATAAACTTAAAAAAAATTAGCTCTAATTCATGTACCGTCAAATGCGGCTACTGAGTGTCAAATACACAGGTTCACAGTCCCTCTCAAGGCTGTACCGCCATCACCCCAGAGAGGATACCCCTGACCCGGCCCAACCACAGTCCACTGCCGTGTGGACTGGCCTGTGCCCACGCGGCATCGGGCAGCGCGTGTGGCCTTCTGCGACGGGCCTTGTGCACAGACCAGCGTCTGAGGTTCACCCTCACGGTGGCGCACACCCCTCCGTGCTTCGTGTCTTCCCGTGGCCGAGTAACATCCCCTCCCTTCACCCCCGACTGCCAGGAAGGCGGCCCCAGCGAGCAGCAGAGGAGGCCTCTGCCCGGCCACAGAGCAGGGCCGCTCTGTCCTGGCCCCCACGGCCCCCACCGGCTGGGCGGCACATGCCTCCGACAGCTCCCACCCCCTGCACACCGGGGCAAGGCACCAGCTCCTCATCCTCCGAGCCCTGCACCTCGGCAGACCCTGGGGCTCGGCCCCGGCCTCCCGTCCCTGCCGCTGCCCTGACCCAGGCCACCCCCACGGTCTGCTCTCCCAGAGCTGCTCAGAGCTCTCCGTGGCCCACCTGCCTCGGTTCTTCAGTGCTGACAAGACCCTCGCTGACCCCCAGCTCAGCCTGTGACCCCTCCCCATCCCTCCCGCCCCGCCTCTGCACTCACCGGCAGCCCCCAGCCCCTCAGCTTCCAGCTGTCACAGCTGTGCTAACACCCGACCCCAAGGGCGGCCACAGCCTCCATTTCTACTTCCAAGTCACGTCAGCTTGGCTGGCACCACAGCGAGATCGCTCAACCCCTCGGGAGGGGCCGTCCGGCTCTGGGTGACACACACCCAGGTGAGTTCGGGACCCAGCACGGCCCTCGGGCTCGGGGGCTCCCCGCCCAGTGCAGCAGATGGGACCTCAGGCCTCGTGCTGGGCCCGTGAGGCCAAACCAGGCTCTAGGGGCCCAGCCCTGCGGGTGTGCACGTGGTCCTGGGGCCGCCCGTAACCCCGCTCCACAAGGCCCCTGAAAGCCACCGGGATTTAGGGTCTCCGGGTGCAGAGGCCAGGCCAGGGGCAGGCAGGCAGGGCCGGCTCCTTCTGCAGAACAAGGCCCCCCTCCGGCATCCTCAGCCTCTGCCCATCTCTGTGCAGACCCTCCCTGGGTCCCGGCACCCCCTCTTCTGAGGACACTTGCCATTCCAGCTCCGCCAGCCAAAACCCACGAGCCCTCATTCCAGGCCCTTTGTTTCATCTGCAAAGACCCTGTTCCCAGATAAGGGCCCTGCACAGGTCCTGGGGTTTGGACCTGACCTGCTTTTTGGGGGACACCATTCAGCTCCCGACAGGGCCGAGCTGCAGGACCCCGGGGAGCCAGCTCCCCTCCTGCACCCGCTTCTCTGTAACATGGGAACGCCACGCTGGCTGCTCGGACGTGTGTGAGCCAGGGCCTGGTGTGTCAGTGGGACGCAGACAGCTAACAGCCATCCCGTGGCCTCATCTGCACCATCACACACCCATGAGGTCCCAGGCCACAGCCTCTGCATGGACGCTGGCCCCCGAGGCTCCACCCGGGCCTGGCGCAGAGGCTCCCAGCGGCGGCAGGTGGAGGAAGCCAGGCAGCAGGCACCGGGGGAGCCCCACCCTGCTGGGCAGCCTGATCGGAACCACTCAGTCATCAGGGGCCCCAACACGGACAGGGTGCCGCAGTATATGGGGGCCCTGACCTCCTGAGGCCATCTGGCCCAGGCTCCTCCACCAGGGAAAACCAGCATCAGAGGGGGGGCCGCACTCTCCACCAAGCCTCATGATGAGGGAGGCCCACACCCCCAGCAGACGCCGCTCTTGAAACCTAAGACCCGCCCTGTGTTCCCGGGAGCTTAGGGGAGACAGGCTTCACCGCCTCCCCCCAGTGCCGGGGTCCTCGGGGTCAGTATGGGTCCCCTCAACCCAGAGCAGATGCGGAGCTGGGATGTGTGCAGGACTGGCTGCCTGGAGCTGGGAGGGCGGGGGGCGGTCAGGTGAGTGGGGCGACCACCGCCCCCGTGAAGCAGACCACCCACCCTGCCCGGCCCTGGAGTTGCCCTGCTCTGACCCCCAGGGCCTGCCTCCCCCATTTCCAATAGCCCGTCGGGGGCAACCCCAGCACCCGGCAGGCGGCGGACCCCTTCCTCCCCCCCAGCCCCCTGAGGCTGGTGCAAAAGCCCCAGTGGGAGCGTGGCTGTTTGCCAGCCACCATGTCAGGGGCTGGCGTCTGACCACCGCTCCTGACCGCCCTCCTGCCCCGGCTCCGTCAGCCTCTGAGTCCCATGCTCTAGGACACTCTGCCAGAGGCTGAGGCCTGGGCTTCCCCTCCTGGGGAGGTGACTGCCCTTGGTGCCTCAGTTTCCCCTTCCACCGGGTGGGCAGCTCACCCAGGCAGTGTCTTTCCCTTCCTTTGTACCGTGGGGAAACTGAGGATACACCCTCCTCACGGTGGTGAGCCCCTGGCCCGGCACGGCCGCCATCCACACCCGCTTGCCCTCTGAACTCCCCGAAGCAAACCAAGACCTCCTCTCGCTTTATCTGCCTGATTTCTGGGGCTCTTATGGATTGAATTGCACCCACCACCCTCAAAAATACGTTGGAGTCCTAACCCCCAGCACCTTGCAGATGGGCCCCATTCTGGAAGGAAGATGGGTGTGTGTTAACAAGTTACAATGCGTCAGGCTGGAGTGGAGGCACCCCCAGAGAGGGGGTCCAGACAGACACAGGATGGCCACGTCCAAGCCCAGGAGGGGGCTCAGGAGATGAGCCCTGCACACCTGGACCGCCAGCCTCCAGGAGGTGAGATGGTGAATTTCTATTGTGTGAGCCAACCCAGCTGGGGTTTCGGCCCCCCCCCCCCCCCGCCCCAGCAAGCCGGCACAGAGCCCCATCCAGCCGGGAACCCTGCCCGCCAAGGACTTGGGGGCACCTCCGGGCTCCAGCCTCCCCCCGCCCGGGCCCCTGAGAAGGAAGCAGGGGGGCTGGCTTGCAGCAGAAGCAAAACCAAGGGGACCTGTGCTGACTTACTTCCCACGGCGGCAGGACCGAGCCCGAGGGCAGCGGGGCGGACACAAGAAGGGGGCCCAGGTCCCCGCCTCTCTCTGAGTCACCGCCTGACACGAACATAACCTTGTACCCAGGCCTTCTGAGCACCGCTCCTCACGGGTTTGCCCAGGGGCTCCGAGCCCTAGACGGGAGGCTGGGGAGGGGCCACACACCCCCTGGTTTTGTCCTCAGGACACCAGGGGGGCCTCCCTGGAGGCTGCTGCAGCCCCCAGCTCCAAAAGTGCCCATCTGGGGGGGGTGCACCCTACAGTTTACAAAGGGATTCAAACCACGTCGCCCACCACACACGGCACTCCTCAGTGAGCTCAGAGCATCAGCCGCCACGACTCGCTGGCCTCAGTCACAGCTCCCTGGGGGGGGGGGGGCTCGGACCCCACCCCTGCAGGCATCTGCACCCTCCTGGGCCACGGGGGCTTGGCCTGGGCAGACCTCGGTGCCTACTGAGTATGGGGACAGTGGCAGGCTCGGCTCCGGCAAACCTTCGCCTAGCAGGGGCTTCTGGAAGGCGAGGCCTGCCCAGGGTCCCCTTGCTCCCTCCTGGGATGCCCAGTCACCCGGACAGGCCCTGACTGCACAGCCCCTTTATGGCACAGGGATGGTCTCTGCGAGCATGTCTCAGGGACCAGGACGTAGAGGAAGCTGCTGGGCGTCCTGGCCAGGACACGGCCTGTGAGCCAGGCTGTCCCTTGTCATCCACTCTGAAGGGAGATACAGGGCATGCATGCAAATAGGCAGACCACAGAGCAGGCTGTGGCCGAGGTGATAAAATCGTGTCTCAGAAATAGTCGCCCGGCCACACTGATTCATACCGAGACGGCCAGGCAGGGCCCCAGGCTCCAGATTCCCCCCTGAGCCCAGAAGTGGCCGGTGGTGGGGCGAGTCTCAGGATGTGACCCAGTACCTGCACCGGGGTGGGTCCCTGGCAAGGCGTCCTGACCCCAGAGGCCCTGCGGCCATCAGCAGCATCTCCCTGGCCTGGGAGGCAGGTGGGCCAGGTCCCCAGGCAGGTGGCCAGGAGCAGGACTCCCACCTGCCTGCCCGGGACCGGGAATTCCCAGCTTCAAGCCCACATCCCAGGTTCTGGCCGCGGCTCATCTGCTGGCATCTGGTCACTCACTCAACCCCTCTGGGCCCCGGGAGCGCCCTTGTCCAAAGAGGGCCATTCATCTCCGTGGCCAAAGCCGTGGCTGAGCCTCCGTGGACACCGGCCAGCAGAGGCAGGGCAGCCGGGGGGTTTGAGTGACACCTAAGGGGCCAGTCCTGTGCTGGGGGCACAGAGGGACGAGGCGTCCTGGGGGGCGACACCCAGGGAGGTAGGGGATTCAGGGAGGTCTAGAAGTGCTGGGAGACGGGGAGCCTGGCCAGGGGTGGACACCGCCCTGAGCTGCTCAGCATCCTCCTCCGACCACCGGGGGGCACACGAGGCCCTGGAGACCCCCACTGAGACCCACAGCGAGGGCCCCACTGCCCTCCCTCCAGCCACCAGCCACCACCCCACTGCCAGACCCCAGGGACCCGGCCGCCCTCCCCAGCTCCCAGGTGGCAGCCGCTGCCCCGCCTGGTGGGTCCTCCCGATGCCAGCCCCCGACGGATGCCCCCTGTGACTTACTGACAGTCAGAAAACGTGGGCCGGTAGTAGAAGGGAGGCACTTTGGACTCGTACGTGTCCCTCGCAGCATCGTTCCCATGGGAGGCCATGAACTGCAGAGGGAGGATGGGGTCAGTGCTCCCAGAGGCCGAGGCCTAGGGCAGGGGCCGGCTGACCCCAGAGCCCTGGCGCCCCCAGCCCCTCCTGTCTCAGGGAAAGCACTTTGCAACGGCCACAGGGACGCACCTCCAGTTTTGCCAGGGGCCCTGGAGAGGGTGGGCCAGGCCCTCCTCACATCCCCCGGGGCTGCAGAGCTGCTCCCTCCGCCCAAGCTGCCCCGTCCCTGCCTCACGCAAGACCCGCTCTCCACTCATCTGACCCACACCCAGCAGGCAGCCCTCAAGTACTGGGCACAGTGAGGGCCCTGAGATGGAGACTGGCCCGGGGAAGCAAGGTCTGTGTTCCCCCTGAGGCTGACAGACGGTGGGAGTCAGGAACCTGGAGCAGGTACTACACAGGCAGTGGGGGAACAGCGGGTGCAAAGGCCCTGGGGTCAGTGCCAGGTGTATTGGAAGAGATGCCTCCAGCTGGGCTGGTGCAGGGGAGCAGGGAGGGGACCAGCGGCGCCTGACGCATGGTGGCCTCCAGGACAAGGAGAGTGGAGGGAATTCCTTCTGCGCCAATCCTGCCTCCTTCTGACCCCCCACCCCCACCCACCAAGAGAAAGCCTTTCTTCCAAAGCCATCGAACTTTGAGGACCATCAGGCCATGACCATGTCCAACCCAAGTGGGTCAACTGGAAAAAATCACCAACAATAAGATACTTCAGCAAAAAGCTGGTACCAAATTAAAATTCCAAAATCAGTTGCTTTTCTAAAACCTCAATCAAGAACTTGGCAAAATACTGAAGAGCCAGCCTCATGAGAAATGCTCAAAGTCTCCACAAAGACAGAACGTCCGCGCCCCAAGGGATGCTCAAGAAATCTTGCACAGAGACACATGCTCGGAAGGTAGACACACGCCGCCTCCTGATGTTGATCTATGTTGTTTTAGAAGCTGTCAAAAAAATATAATTTTTTGAAGCTAGCAATGATTCTAAAGTTCATTTTAAAATTAACAAGCAAGGGGCGCCTGGGTGGCTCAGTCGTTAAGCGCCTGCCTTCAGCTAAGGTCGTGATCCCAGGGTCCTGGGATCGAGCCCCACGTCGGGCTCCCTGCTCAGCGGGAAGCCTGTTTCTCCCTCTCCCACTCCCTCTGCTTGTGTTCCCTCTTTCGCTGTCTCTATCAAATGAATTAATAAAATCTTTAAGAAAAAAAAAATTAACAAGCAAAATGCTCTAGAAAATTCTGCAAATACTCTTCCTACCAGCTATTAAAACCTGTTACTGACCAGAGAGCCAAATCAATGCAACCAATAAAAGGCCCAGAAATAGATCCACTAAGATCTAATACTTGATATTGGATTTAATGCACATCTCAGATCAACGGGGGGATGCCTGTTAGCTGATCATCATTGGGAGCAGGAACCTGGGAAACCAGCACAGAGAAAGCACAGCTGGACTCAACCTTTTAGCCATATAAGCTCCAACTGAATTAAAGATGTGATTTCCAAAATTAAACAGTAAAAGTAGTAGCTAGAAACTATGCTATAATTTTAAAAAAATGATTTTAGGAAAATATGGGAGGAAATCTTTGTGACTTTGGACTAAGAAATGGCTTCATAGATGTGATCCCAAAAGCACAAACAACAAAAGAAAAAAAAATGGAACTTCATCAAAGTTAAAAACTTCTGTGCTTCAGAGGACGCCGTTGAGGGCGTGCAAACGTTAGGCTGAATGAGAGAAGCTGGACAGTAAGTCCGCAAGGGGCGGATGCCCAGAGGCAGGATGAGGACAGGCGGCCATGGGGCCGGGGAGATGGGCCCTGGGGCTCCTCTGAGGTGCCGGGAAGACTTGGAACCAGACACAGGTGGGGGCTGCCCAACCCCATGAATGTGATAAATGCCACTGGGCTGTTCACTAAAACGGTGGGTTTATGTGACTTTCACCTCAGTAATAAAAAATATACAGATATAGCTCCTTCAGAATATAAACTGCACGTTTAGCATTGCAAACATTTTATTTAAAAAGGAAAGTTAAGGGGCACCTGGGTGGCTCAGTCGGTTAAGTGGCTGCCTTCAGCTCAGGTCATGATCCTGGAGTCCCGGGATCAAGCCCCACATCGGGCTCCCTGCTCTGCGGAGAGTCTGCTTCTCCCTCTGACCCTCCCCCCTCTTGTTCTCTCTCTCTCTTTTTCTCTCTCTCAGATAAATGAATAAAGTCTTAAAAAAAAAAAAAAAAGGAAAGTTAAAAGATAACCCACAGGAGAAAAACTATTTGCAAATACCATATCTAATGAGGGACTCAAGTCCAGAATATATAAAGGACTCTGAATAAACGCTCCTAGCTCAGGAATAAAAAGACAACCCGTTTTGAAAATCGGTAAAGGATCTGAATGGACTGGTTTCTGAAGAACACACACGAACGGCCAACAAGCCTATGAAAAGATGCTCACCACCGCTAATCATCGGGGAAACGCGAGTCAAGCCCACAGCAGGAGCCCAGCTTGCACCCGTGAGGGAGGCCGGAATCAGACACCGGCCACGGGAAGTGCTGGCGGGACCGGGCCCGCCCTGCGTGGCCAGCAGGCACGCGGCCCTGTTCCGGGCAGTCCGGCTCGTCCCCACAGACACAGCCACGCCACTCGTCTGGGAGAAAGGCCGCTTCTGCCCACACACGAGCTTGCCCAGGACTGTTCCCAGCAGCGTTACTCGGAAGAGCGGGAAAATGAGATGACCCAAGCGTCCACCGATGGATGGGCGGGTGCGTCAGCCGAATGTGGTCTGTCCACATGGTAGGAATTACTCCGCAGTACAGGGGCGTGTGGCCGGGACACCTGCCACCACATGGTGAAGCCGGGACGCGTGGTGCTCCGCAGGGGGCGGGGGCCGCAGAGGCCGTGGGGTGGGGGGGCTGTAAGGGGCTCGTTTGGGGAAAATACTCCAAGAGCAGGCAGCGGGGACAGCTGTGCAGCCGTGTGGTGGAGCGAAGCCTCCCGCAGGCGGGCTGCATGGTGTGCGAATTCTACCTCCGTGACGCCCTGGTGAGTCAAACCAGCCTGGGGCAGTGCAGGCCCATCGAAATACCCGAGAACCCCGAAAACCACAGAAGACTGATACATCTGAGTACATCAAAGTAAACAAGTTTCCACTGCAAAACCCACCACGAGCAAAGTCAAAAGACAACCCAGAAAAACCGTCTCCTACTACCACCTCGAAGGGTTAGGTCCCCAAATAGAGCCGAACACGAGAAAGCGAAACAGCCAACTCCGCCCCAGCGAGGGGCCAAGGGCGTGCAGGGTCAGCCACAGACACCAAACCGTAGCACAAGCTGTTCAGTGTCCTCAAGACACAGAAACGCCCCGTGACGGCCCCACGGGGGCACGGCAGAGGAGAAACACGGGGGCCGGTGTGCAGGGATGTGGCAAAGGCTCTCACACGGGGTGGGGGGTGTGCGGGGAGGCACAGAAGCCGCTGGGGTGGGAGGCTGCAGTCACTCCCACGTGCGGGGACAGGCTTCCCGGCCCTGAGGGGCACAGGTGCGCCTGCCTGGCGGTCACTGAATCTGCAGGCGCCTGGTCCAATAGATCAGGCTCTCTGCAGGAGGGCTTACTCTATGTTCACCAGGGGGACGGAGGGGGGCACGCTCAGGGCACCTCTGAGGAGACTGAACGGCCAGCCGGGGGCCTAGAGCCCCCCCACAGTCACGTGCTCCCTGCACACACACAGCCTCGGAGCGTCCCCATGCTCATCGGCAGATGGATAACAAGGTCCCTCCATCAGTGGACGTCATCCCCTCATAAAAAGGAGCGAAGCCCAGACACGCACTAGAACACAGGTGGCCCCGGACACGTGGCGCTTGGTGAAAGAAGCCAGACACCAAGGCCCCCCAGTGCCCGATCCCTTCCATGGACATGCCCACAGCAGGCACATCTGGGGGGACGCAGAGCAGATGAGCGTCCCCCCAGCTGCATTCGGGACGGCTAGGGGCTCGGGTTTCTTTCTCAGGGGTGAAATGTCCTACAAGGCACCTTGGTGACAGTGGCCTGTGAACGCACCGAGGGCTGCTGAGTGGCGCGTGCAGACTGGCGACCTGGGGGCCAAGGGCACAGGACACGTCTCACCCCGCCTGGCCCCCCCCCACACCCCCGCCCTCACTCCCCACCCATCCCGCTTCACACCCCTGTCCCCATCCCGTCCCCACCCCTCCGGCCCCTCTCCCCTGCCCCCACCTCTGCTCTCCCCCCATCTCATCCCTACCCTCACCCCTCTACCCCTCACCCCCACCCCAGGTCAGCATTGGCCCCAGTCAGGAGCCTGGAGCACCAGGGGTAAAGGGACCCCCGGGGTGTCTGACCTGGGGGGCCAGGCCGAGGGCACCCAGGGAGCAGCAGGACTGCAGGGTCTCCTCCCCGCCCACCACCACCCCCATCCGCTTGCAGGCCCATACCTCCACTTGGGCCTCCTCCCAGGCATCCAGCCGGACGGACTTCACCTTGCTGACCTGGGGGATGTTCCGGTGGATTCCGGAGCAGCTCAGACAGATGAACACCCCCAGGGTGTAGGAAGCCCAGTCGGGATCTGGAAAGCAAAGGCCAGACGCTCAGGGAGGCTCCGCCCCAGGGAATGAGCATGGCCGGGACTCTCTCTAGCCTGTCTCCCCAGCTGTGCAAAAGGAGGCTGGCAAGGAGATCCCTGAAGCTCACAGGCTCATGTCTCATGGGCCCGTGTCCCACGCGAGGTCTCTCCTGCCCGCCACAGGTGAGCAGCCCCACCCCTGACATCCCAGCTGCTCCGTGGACACCCAAGTGGACAACCCGTGGCCACGGGAGACGTGCTAGACAATGACATGCGATCGGCGCCACGTGTGTCAGGCATGACAGCAACGCGCTCAGACACACCTTGATGTCTCGCTCACCCGCAAAGTGCAACAGGAACACGTGTGTGCACGCGTGTGTGCAGCAATGTTCAGAGTGCTGACGGCCCCGTGACCCCACTGGGGGTGCAGGTCCAGGTGGAAGCACATTCGCAGCTTCTCATACTGAACCAGGCAAGCGGTGGCATGTGGCACTTGACAAACGGGGGACTGGTGGCAGCTCCAGTGTTGTTCCTCGTGTTCTGTGCACCCCATCCTAGGAACCGAGTGTGGGGGCTGGGGGCCGAGGGAGGCAAGCGCCTTCCACTTCTAAGGAAAGCTTCTCCTACATCCAGTGTGGTTTAAATCCAGACACCAGGAGGCCCAGAGCCCCTCCTCAGACACCGAAGGCCGGACCACAGGCCCACAGCACTGTGCCAGAAGTGTGTTTGCAGGGTGTGTGCACGTGTGAGGGCAGGTGCGGGTGTGCACGTGTGTGTGAGTCAGTGGGCAGGTGTGGGTGTGTCAGTGGGTAGGTGTGGGTGTGCGTGTGTGAGTGCGCAGGTGTGGGTATGCACGTGTGAGTGGGCAGGTGCAAGTGTGCACGTGTGTGGGCAGGTGTGGTGTGCACGTGTGAGTGGGCAGGTGCGGGTGTGCACGTGTGTGCCAGTGGGCAGGTGGCAGGTGCGCATGTGTGTCAGTGGGCAGGTGCGGGTGTGCACGTGTGTGTGAGTCAGTGGGCAGGTGTGGGTGTGTGTGTCAGTGGGTAGGTGTGGGTGTGCGTGTGTGTGTGAGGGCAGGTGCGGGTGTGCACATGTGAGTGGGCAGGTGCGGGTGTGCACGTGTGAGTGTGAGTGGGCAGGTGCGAGTGTGCACGTGTGTGGGCAGGTGTGGGTGTGCACGTGTGAGTGGGCAGGTGTGGGTATGCACGTGTGAGTGTGAGTGGGCAGGTGCGAGTGTGCACGTGTGTGGGCAGGTGTGGGTGTGCACGTGTGAGTGGGCAGGTGCGGGTGTGCACGTGTGTGTTAGTGGGCAGGTGCGAGTGTGCACGTGTGAGTCGGCAGGTGCGGGTGTGCACGTGTGTGTTAGTGGGCAGGTGCGAGTGTGCATGTGTGAGTGGGCAGGTGCGGGTGTGCACGTGTATGTTAGTGGGCAGGTGCGAGTGTGCACGTGTGAGGGCAGGTGCGGGTGTGCACGTGTGTGTGAGTCAGTGGGCAGGTGTGGGTGTGTCAGTGGGTAGGTGTGGGTATGCACGTGTGAGTGTGTGAGGGCAGGTGCGGGTGTGCACGTGTGTGTGAGTCAGTGGGCAGGTGTGGGTGTGTGTGTCAGTGGGTAGGTGTGGGTGTGCGTGTGTGTGTGAGGGCAGGTGCGGGTGTGCACGTGTGTGTGAGTGGGCAGGTGGCAGGTGCGCATGTATGTGTCAGTGGGCAGGTGCGGGTGTGCACGTGTGTGTGAGGGCAGGTGAGGGTGTGCACATGTGTGTGAGTGGGCAGGTGCGGGTGTGCACGTGTGAGTGTGTGAGGGCAGGTGCGGGTGTGGGGGGCTGGTGCAGCAGGCACCTCTGGTTCCTGGACCAAGGACCCAGCAGCCCTGGCCCTGGGATGTCCGGCCCTGGCCCCAGACTCGCAGCTGCCCGAGGGCACTGGCCATGCCTTGGGCCCAAGCCTCCCTCCCTGCCTGTTTGGGGAGACAAGTGCCAGCTCACTGTGAGATCCGAGAGGGACATGGGGGGCCGACGGGCTGAGCAGTTGAGCACAGGGGTTCTGGTGGTTACAGGCCTTGCTCACTTTCCAAACCTGACCACCAAGCTCACAGCATCCCTGTCCCCAAGGTGCCTGTGGGGCGTGCGACCTGCTCTAGGATCTAGCAGAGGAAGTGGAGGCCAGGGAGGCAGATCGCTTCTAAGGGCCTCCAGAATAGAGAAGTTTCAGGAGAAAAACAGCCATGTCATTGTGAGGGCCCCGCACGGAGGCCCACAGATGACTGTCCATGGGGGCTGGTGATCCTCCCAGCCATCACCTCCAACTTTGCCTTGATGCTTGTTTATGCGGTGGGGGTGGCTGGTGCAGGAGGGGACTCCTGGTGAGTCTGGGGGGCTGGGGAACTGGGAAGTGAGCCCATGCAGACCTAGGCTCCTGGCCGGGAACCTGGAGGCTGGCGCTCTGAGACCAACAGGGGCCCCAGTCCCCCACCTCCTCCCTGTCCTGAGTTGGCTAACACCAGCCTTCCCCACTGGGGCCAGCGAGGGGTGCAGCCCAGAGAGCCTGAGGCCTCAGAGCCTTGGTTCTGGGGGTCTTACCCCACTCAGAAGAGCTGTGAGCAGAGGGGCAAGGCAGACCACCAGCCCACCCACCCATCCTCCCGGACATCCCCTCTGTCCAACCCTGGCTCCCTGCCGTTCCCCCCACGGCCCTCCACAGCCCCTTTGCCTGCTCCGCCCACAGGCCACTGGCCCCGGAAGCCAGAGCATCACATCAGGTTTCTGTTTGGAACCTTCCGGGGACTTTTCACCACCTCTCCTGGCTCCTCCCCAGGCACTGCTCCAGCCCCGCAATGACTGGGCGGCCCCTTCCTCCCACATCTCAGTGCAAATGTCACCCTCACGGGGCCCCTGGCCACCAGCAGGGGGCACCCTCATGGGTCCCCCATCATAATGCCCTTCTCGGTTCTTCACACCATCTGCCAGGCTGCCGTTGACTTTCTTTGCCTGTTTACCCAGCACCGCCTGTCTCGACCCCTAGAATGGAAACGGGTCAGGCGCCTGACGTGCTTTGGGCCCTCTCCCAGCAGCCCGGTCCCCAGATGTCCACACAGCCCCCACAGCCACGTCCCTGAGCTCCCCCCACCGCCCATGGCTCAGGGGACACTAAGGGACAGGCCACCACCCTGCTGCCCTGAGCACTGACCCGGGGAGGTGTCTTGGCCGCAGGGCTTGACCGCAGCCAGAAGCCAGGCCTCCAATGTACTGGGGTCCGCAGAGCAGGCAGGATGGGCATGCAGGGGACCCAGAGAGTGGGCAGCGGGGGAGATCGGGTAAGGAGAAGGCCATGTGCCCCAGCTCCGTGCCTCCCTGAGGGCTGGGTGGGGGTCAGAAGGCCACAGACCCCCCTCTCCATCCCAAGCATGCTCGGTAGCACACAGACAGAAGACCCCCACACGTGACCCAAGTTTCCACAGGAACCTGGGGATGCAAAGAACATGCAGAGAACAGGACAAGGGTCCACAGCTCTGCATGAACCAACCTTCCACCTCCATCCCCTACTCTCAGAAGACACTCCCCGCATTTTGGTAGCATTCTCCAGAAACTGCCAAGGGGGCCACACCGAAGCCCCTGGTACTCCCCCCTGCCAGGCCCCTGCCCCACGGGCCCCTGCCCCATGGGCCCCTGTCCTGTGGCCACAGCCCACCTTCGGCAGCCCGCCTGGATGCCTGGGTGCATCCACTCTCCTTGGGCCCCAAGAGCCGCTCCCTCTTCCTGAAAATGCTGCCCCACCAGGAAATGAGCCACTCCTCTGGTCTGAGAGAACACGAGCAGGGAGGACCCATGTGGGTCAGCTGCGCTGGGTCCCACCCCCTCCCCACCCTTCCTAGCTGTGCGTCCCAAGGCGAATTACTTAACTGCTCTGTGTCTCAGTTTCTCCTCTGTAAAACGGACAGCACTCCATCAAGGACACCGAGACCATTCATACACAGACAGCAGCGGGCTGGCCTGGTATGCAGAGTGCCCAGCTAATTCTGGTCATTACAGAGCGGCATGCACAGCCTGTCCTGGGGGATCACTAACAGCTTCCCTGGCCACCCTCAGCCATGTCCCGGTTCAGACACTCATCTCCTCAGCCCCCCTGAACACGGGCCTGTGGCAGAGACCAATGGGGCTCTCCAGCATCCGTCTCTCTTCCTCCCTGGGGTCACAGGGTACGACACTTCCCAGCCTCCTGGAATGTGACCAGAGGGACCCATGCCCCTCCAGGCCTGGCTGACGGCCACCACCCACCCATGGTGCTCCATGGTGTCCCCATCCTCAGCTGATGGGTGGGGGTGGGGAGACTGACGATGGGGGAGGGGAGGAGGCCCCTGCGTCACTGTCTGGAGCAGACAGGCCCCAGAGAGCTGGGACCAAGCACTTCTGCAAAGCACTGTTTGAACAAGTAGCAAGTCCTGTCTCTGAGATGTGGGGCTATTTGTTACCACTGCTGGCCTTCTAACAGTCTGTCTCCCCATTCACTGTGGGCTTCTCGAGGACAGCAGTACCCCAGGACCCAGCACAGAACCTAGCCAAAACCAGGGGCTCAAGGGCTCGTGATGAACGAACGACCAAACAGCCCAACGTCTGCAGAGTCCCCACTTCCCAAGAGAGAGCCAAGGCCTTCTGCCCCTGCACCGACACACATTCACCGAGGGAGGTGCGGCACGGGAGTGGTGCTGGGCAGAGCACAGCAGCTTTGTGGGGCAGAACCGCGTGGCAAGGGTGGCACGTGGTTTATAGTTAAGAGCTGTCCCGGTGGACCAAACCGAGGCCCAGAAAAGGGAGAGTCCCAGTTCCCCCACCGGGCTCTGTCATCCCCAGAAACGTCCACCAAAGCTGCTCAGTCAACAGTTGTGCACGGAGTGACCAGTCCTGGGCAAGGAGCAGCCCTTCTGGGCCTCACCCTCCTCCTCTGTGAAATGGGACAATAATGGCGACTTGCAAAATGAGCCCAACTGGGAAAGTCACTGCGGTGCAGGA